TACCTCGCTCAGACTCTCTCTAAAGGTGCTAATAAAGGATGTACTTCAGGAAAAAAGAAATTCAACCCAGAGGGAGGAAGTGACATTTGGAAACAATAAATTGCATTTATCAAGTGCTTGCAGCGACCAGGCATGTCCTCTGCTCTCCCCTTGGTTCACGTAATCTTCATAACCGCCCCAAGAACTGGGCGTTGTTATTATCACACCCCCTTGACAGGCGAGGAATATGAGCACAGGAGGCGAAGAGCTTGCCCAAGGCCCAGATCCAGGCGCGGGAGAGTTCCAGAGTCAGCAAAATCATCTCACCGGAGTCAAAGTGTTTCCAGATCCCGACAGATCTTAAACCTCAGGTTTCAGAAATGAGACATTGGAATCCCCAGGGATTCTTGGGAATTCTTCAAATCAAAAGTCATTCTTAAAATACTTCCAGTGTTATTCATACTTTCCACCTAATAACCTAAAAAATATATTTAACAGGGCCTCCCTGGTGGCGCAGCGGTTGAGCGCTGGGTTGCGAAGCTGCCTGCAGCCTCTGCAGCGCCAGTTCAATCCACGGCTGCTCCCCGGCCACCGGAGGAGGGTCCCGTAGGGCGCGCAGACCTCTCCTGCCGCCCGCTGCTCCCCTCAGCAGTGTACTTCGGTCCTTCTGCCTGCTCTGCTCCCCGCTCCGGCTCTGGTGAATCCTCTCACCCTCCCGCGCTTCTGACAAGTACCCAGTGCGTGTATAAATAAATAAATAAATCTATCTTTAAAAAAAAAAAGAGTAAAAAAAAATTTAAAAAAAAATTTAACAAATAAGAAATATGCGACTATACAGGTGAGTGCAGACACCAAAAAGATGTAGAAGAATCCAAACCCTGAATCCACACAAGTCGTGATGACAACAGTCAGGTGGGGGTCTGAATGCACTGTGCCACAGGGGTGTCGGGACAAACTGTTTCACAAATGGGATGGAATAAAATTGGATTCCTCCTTTAAGCAGATTAAAAATCAATAAACTGGGCCTCCCTGGTGGCACAAGGGGTTAAGCACTGCACCATGAAGCAATTCACAGCCTCTGCAGCACGAGTTTGATCCCTGGCCTGTCAGGGAGCAACCCACATGGAGCAGCAGACCTCTCCTGTCTCGCCCGCTGCTCCCCTCAGCAGTGTATTTCAGTCAGTCTGCCTGTTCTGTTCCCTACTCTGTCTCTGGTGAATCCTCTCACCCCCTGCATCTCTGGCCTATACCCCAGCTCTTGTATGCATAAATAAATAAATCTTTAAAAATAAATAAATAAAATTTTTAAAAAATCAACAAACTGGGGCTTCCCTGGTGCCACAGGGGTTAAATCTCAGTGCTCTCAAGTTATTGCCAGTCACTGAGGCCTGAGCTCCATCCCCAGCCAGGGGGCAGACCTCTCCTGTCTCCCCGCTGCTCCCCTCAGCAGTGCATTTCAGTCGATCCGCCTGTTCTGCTCCCCACTCTGTCTCTGGTGAATCCTCTCACCACCCACACCTCTGGCCTACATCCTAGCTCGTATGTGCATAAGTAAATAAAAATTAATCTTTTTAAAAAAAAGAATTTTCACAGCAGCACTGCAAGTAATAAAGGAAAGTGGGATAAGCTCAGTGTCCTCTGCATGGAGACAAAGAATGCATCGTGGTCCCCAAATAGGCTATAGAGCAGCAAAAATAAACTGCCACGACGTGCAGCTAAGAGCTAAGTCTCCAAAACAAAAATTGCAAAAATTGCAGGGGATCCCTCCATGCGACCATTTTCATTAGGTGAGTAAATACCATATATGGCTCAGGGAGGTGACACTTAACGAAGCGCACTATTAAATAAGGAGGTTTGTTACATGCAATAACAGGAACAGGATAGAATAAGTCTGAATTTTCATACACCCAACAACATGTCAAGAATTGTCAGACTTACAAGGAGAAATTGGCAAATGCTTTGTGTTCGTTTGGATCATCCAAGAAACAAATGCCAAGACAGAATTATCTGCACAGGAGACCTGCTGGAGGGAGGCTGGGGCGGGGGGTGTGGGGGGAGTAGAGCAGCCTGGAGAGGCTTCGCCCGGGGCCAACAGGCCTGAGCTCTGCACAAGGAGAGAGGGAAGGAAGCACCTCAGAGCGCCTGGACTCTGTGAGCTTTGGCCAGCCCCAGGGGTGGCCCCCACACCAAGCTGCCCAGACAGGAGTGCAGACCCGCGCTGTACGCCCCGGGGTGTAGCCGCAGGCTGGGAGGCCCAGGAAGGTGGGGAGGTGGTTTTGGTGTCTGGGCGCAGCAGGTCCACCGTGCCCCCGCAGCGCAGCGGAAAGCGAGCAACGTGTCCACGGCCAGGCCGACCGTCACAGGCGCCAGACGGGCCTCCGCCGTTGCCGGGCCAAGCAGGCTGAGGACAGACGTTCTCCGCACCGCGCGGACAGTCCCAGGCCCCTCTCCCCAGGAGCCAGAGAAGCCGCCTGCAGAGCCACCGAACGCTCCTAAAACTGCACCCAAAGCCATTCTCAACCCAAACGGGGAACTGGCCGTGCTGAAAGATGAGAAAGTGATCAGGAACTCCTCCCCATGTGGTGGTCTGGAAATTGAGAAGCGGGGATCACACGCTGAGCCAAAGATCTCCTAAGGGGCATCAGAAAACAATGAGCACAGAAATAACACGAGAAGAGACGGGACCAGGAGCAGGCCGGGAGGCCGCTACCCCGAGGCACGGCAGCAAGAAACACCCCAAGTTACTGGGTGCCAGGGCTTCCAGCCCGAGGAGAGGAGGATAATTAAACAAGAAAAACAAAATAGGAAGGAAACACGGACGCCGCACAGGTAAGCACGGGCATGAAGGAAACGCTGAGTGGAAGAAACCACGGCAGGGCCTGAGGAGACTGAACAGGCCGGTCTCTGGTGAGAGCGCCGGGATGGACAGGAGGTGGGCGTGGGCGTGGACCAAAAGAAGGTCCCTGGCCAGAGACCACCCCCCAAAATAACGGATCTCCCACACCTCGTTCTACAATGCGGCGTTCATGTGCGGCGTCGGCTGAAATACAAACGCTTTCTGCAGCGTGTGTGTGTTACCAGCCACACAAACGTGTGTGTGTGTCACTATCCACACTGCACGAAACGTGACCGGCTGACGTCATACAGAATGCCCCAGAGCCGCCGCTGGGAGCTCTCTGGCCTCCACCCCCTTGGTTAGGCTGTGCTTGCGCTCAAAATGCCCTCCCTCGCACCCGGTAGGCTGAACTAAGAGGCAACCCCTCTGGCTGTCACTGCCAGTGGCAGGATCCACACTGTCTTCCTTGTCAACAGAACCACAGTTCTGTTCAGATTAAAAAGATATCCCATTTAAAATGACCACAGCTGGGGCCTCCCTGGTGGTGCAAGGGGTTAAGCACCGCACTATGAAGCAATCCACAGACTCTGCAGCACAAGTTCGATCCCCGGCCAGCCAGGGAGCAACCCACATGGTGCAGCAGACCTCTCCTGCCTCGCCCGCTGCTCCCCTCAGCAGTGTATTTCAGTCAGTCTGCCTGTTCTGTTCCCCACTCTGTCTCTGGTGAATCCTCTCACCCCCCGCATCTCTGGCCTGTATCCCAGCTCCTGTATGCATAAATAAATAAATCTTTTTTAAAAATAAAATAAAATGAACACAGCTGCCATATTATGCTTTCAGCTTCCTTGCATCTCTGGGTGACATGTGACACAGAATAAAGGAGGTTTGAAAGGCATATTTCGGGGAAGATTTTTGATCTGTCCATCCATCCATTTACTCCCCCCACCTACCTATTCATCCATCTAGCCACCCATCTACCCATCTGTCTATTCATCTGTCCATCCATCCATCCATCCATCCATCCATTTCTCAGCCTATAAAGCGTCAGGCACAATATTTAGATACTTGATAAAGAAAATGAGTGAGGGCCTCCCTGGTGGCGCAGGAAGTTGAGCGCAGCGCTGTGAAGCTGTCTGCAGCCTCTGCAGTGCCAGTTCGATCCCCGCCAGCCTCGGAGCAACCCACATGGCGAGCAGACCTCTCCTGTCTCGCCCGCTGCTCCCCTCAGCAGTGTGTTTCGGTCCATCTGCCTGCTCTGCTCCCCACTCTGTCTCTGGTGAATCCTCTCACCCTCCTGCACATCTGGTCTGTACCCTGGCTCTTGTATAAATAAAAAAAAAGAAGAAAGAAACTGAGTGATATTTGTCCTCCAGCCTTTAGGTAACGATAGTCTGTTAGTGTCCATACATTGTGATAAGTGTGATGTTAAAGGTAAAAGGGGAATACATTTTTATGTGTTAATATTTTTTCCTTCTCCTATTCAAACAGAGGCGGGGTCTGCCTCGGGGAGGGGGTGGTTTCCACTGTAGGGATGTAACAAGGGAAAAAAAGACCTTTTACCTTTGAGTGCTAAGACTGATGCTGTGTCTTGACAAGGAGCTTGGTTCAGACAAGAAAGGATTTTCTAAATTTCAAAGTCTCCACTTTAAAAGACAAGAACCAGGCTGGGGAACTTAATTATAAACCACCTATGAGGTCAGAGGCCACGGCACAGGGCACTTCCCACGGGTAAGCAGAGATGAGAGGTCAGGCCTGAGGGCTCTATTTCCATCCTCCAGGTCAAAACACCCACAGGAAGGCCCTGGGGTGAGCATGGCCCCAGCACCCCAGGGCCTACCCAGCCGTCACTGGCTCTTCAGGCACTGCGGGAGGAGGCCTGGGCTGGGGGCAGGGGGCCAGAGCGGCCTGCTCAGAGGGACGGGCTCTGGCCTGGAGGCAGGAGCCAGGGAGCCGACCCTCTTGGGAAGGAGCGGGGAGAAGGAGCCCCATCAGGGAGTCTGGACCTGAGTGTACTTGAACTTTTATCTTGACTCTGAGTTAACTAGGGAGGAGTTTTTGAAGTCCGGAGACTGAGGTAGCTTTGATTAGCAAGTTCACAGTGTTTTAAATTTTTTTTCTTTGCTGCCATTAGCAGGAGAGCAGACTTAAGAACCAGGCCGACTCAGCTAGAGATCATTTTACTTACGTTTCTGGGCGCTCGCAGAGTCTCCCACCCAGGGAGCCGCGCAGGGGCGAGTGGGGCCAGCGGGCCAGGCAGGCGTGGACGGCTCCGCGGGCGCCCGGCCGGGTAGACGGCCCCGCACGCGGGCTTCCGGCTCCACGCCGCCATCTGGGAAGTCTCAGTGCTTTAATCTTCGAATCTGCGTTTGCAAGGGAAGTCCGATTGTTATAGGACAGGGAGAGGGGTAGCCCAAGCCCCGCAAACCTGCCTATTCTACATGGGTTCTGCCATCCGCCGCATCAACACAAAACATAGGAGACTTTAATGGGAAGGATCTTTAATAAAAACTAGGAAACAATACAGGTGAGGCAAAGAGTCTAGTTTCTAAATGAAGCACCCAAAGTGACCCGTCCCCTCGTGGGTAAAAGTCCATCCATATGGGAATGGCGCAGAGCAAGGCCCCAAAGCCTGCCCCAAGTCTAAAGCATCTTCCAGTGGGGACCCACAGAAAAGGGTCACAAACAACCGGACAAGCCCGGAAGGAAAAGAGCAAAATCAACATCCAGATAAAAGCTGCCATGGTCACCTCCCCACGGGTCTCACCCACATCTGTGTCACCCAGTCCACGACCAAAAGACAAGCGCAGTTTCTTCACGTGTCTCTAGGCTCCACGCGCCTCCTCCAGGGCTCCTGGCTCCATCCTGCTTCCTTCCTCAGTCTCTTCTGCAGCTTCTCCTCTTCCTGCTCAGCTCCACCCTCCCTTGGGTGGGGCAGGGAACCTGGAACCTCCCCCTTTCCTGGGGACCCCCCTGTTACACGATGAGACCTGGAGGTCTGGAGACTTGGGTTCCCTGGCCCTTGGAGTCCGTGCCCGCGTGCCCCGCTCTGCGACCAAGTCATTTGCAAGCGCGCTGCCCAGAGCCCAGCACCCCGCCTCCTGGGGTGCCGTCTCACATCCCCAACAGGACCTGCTTGTTAGGTTTGTTCATCACGCCCCTCGCCAGGCAGGCTGGGTGAGAGAGGGGCTTGTCATGTCTGGTTTGCTGCTGGGTCCCTGGTGCGGGAGCTGAGGTTGGGGTGCTGCCGTGACTGAGGCGGTGGGGAGGGCGTCGCTGGGTTTGGCACCGAAGCTGACATCTGTGGGAGCGTCTGGCGGCAGCTGTAACAAATGCCCCCAACATAGTGGCTTCCACAACACAGCGCGGTTATCTGACAGTTTGGGAGGTCACAAGACAAAAGTGACCGAGTAAGATGCAGGAGACGGCAGAGCTGACTTCCTTGGTGGAACTGCAGGGGACAGTAAGTATCCCGGCCTCTCCCGCTACTCACAGCGCCCACACTCGGCTTCTGGCATCTTCGTCCGTCTTCAGAGCCCACATGGTGGCCAGGTTGTTCTCACGCTGCCCTCTCCTGCTTCTGAACCATCTGCCTTCTCCAGCTCCAGGTCGGGCCCCTCATGATGACATGGTCCTGCCCAAATGATCCAGGATAATCGCATTCTTTTAAAATCAGTTGATTAGTAAACTTCATTCCATCTGCAGCCCTAATTCCCCCTTGTCACAGAACAAAATCTATTCACAGGCCCTGGGGGTGACGAGGGGGGCAGCTCGGCGGTGGGGCAGCATTATTTTGGATGGTAGGGTGCTACTTGGATAGGGCAGGCCAAGAAAGCTTCTCGGAGGAGGTGGCACTGAAGCAGTGACCCGAAGAGCCAACCATGGGAAGTGTTCCGGGCAGAGGGCGTCAGAGCAGGTGTCAGCAGAGTGACTCCGGCATGTGAGCGGGGTGGGGCGGTCCCAGGGGAGGCTGGGGAGGGAGGCAGGAGGCCGAGCAGACACCATGGCTCCTCTCCCGGTCACGGGCAGGTCTGAGTCCCTCGTGGATAGTGCACCAAGCTTGGTCCTGCCTGTGAGGTGGCTGCACTGGAATTCTTGTGGGTTTATTACCGAGCAATGAGCTCGCCACTGACTTGCTTAGACCAGATTATCATGACACCAGGGCTTTGAGAAAAGAAAGAAGCTTTATTACACACCAATGGGCAGGGAGACAGGAGATAAAGCCAAATCTGTCCCCCTGGTTAAGAGAGGGAATGAGAGGGGGCCTCCCTGGTGGCGCAAGGGGTTAAGACGCAATCTATGAAGCTATTCGCAGCCTCTGCAGTCAAGTTCCATCCCAGGCCAGGGAACTACTCACATGGCGCAGCAGACCTCTCCTGACTCGCCCGCTGCTCCCCTCAGCAGTGTATTTCGTCAGTCTGCCTGTTCTGCTCCCCACTCTGTCTCTGGTGAGTCCTCTCACCCCACACACCTCTGGCCTGTACCCCAGCTCTTGTATGTATAAGTAAATAAATCTTAAAAAAAAAAGAAAAGAAAAGAAAAGAAAGGGAATGAGAGTATATAGATTTGGGCACTTGGGTGGAGAGCAAAGGAGTTAAATTTTATTGGCTGAAAGGGAGCGGTGGAAATGTGGACTTGGCTGAAGTTCATTGGCTAGTGACAGGGTAATTCGAGTTAAGATCCCAGCTGCCAACACCACTAACCTGGGGGCTGTGGAGGTTCAGACCTCTCATAAGAAAATTGAACGGGGCCTCCCTGGTGGCACAAGAGGTTAAGACACAACCTATGAAGTTATCCGCAGCTACTACAGCACGAGTTCGATCCCCAACCAGGGAGCTACCCACATGGTGCAGCAGACCTCTCCTGCCTCGCCCGCTGCTCCCCTCAGCAGTGTATTTCAGTCAATCTGCCTGTTCTGTTCCCCACTCTGTCTCTGATGAATCCTTTCACCCCCCACACTTCTGGCCTGTACCCCAGTTCTTATACGCATGAATAAATAAATAAGAAAGAAAGAAAGAAGGAAGGAAAGAAGGAAAGAAAATTGAGCAAGGAAGCAAGACGGACTACATGCAGCCACGGCTGGATGAGAATTCTGCGGGGCGCCAGGGAGGCTGCGCTGACAGAGGCTGAACTGGGCCAGCTCTCCACGGGAGCCAGGAAAAGGCCTGAAGGGGGCCGTCCACCACGAGAGGGCATGGCAGAGGGACAGTGTTTTAAGCTGGCCTGTCTTATGACCTGGACTACCTCATGACCCGGAGATAGCGGGGCACGTCTAGGTGGGTTCTGTGCTTCTTCCAATGTCACATGTCTCAACAGCACCCAGTGGTGTGTGTTTTGGCTCAGTGAGACCTAGGTCGCCGTAATAGCCCCTTTTGTTGAGGTGGGGTGCCTTGGTCAGTCTGGTGGGGCAGGTTGTTAAACAAGGGGTGAGGCAGCGCCCTGCAGCTGTCATGTAGCCCACCTGTTCAGGCGGGGCACGGGCCAGCTCCCCCGGCTCGCCTGCGATCTCAGGTCCCAGCAGACATGAGTGAGGGATCTGTCCAGCCCCCGACACCTCCAGTACCACGACGCCTCCCTTCCCAAGAGTCTCCAGCCACCCCCAGCCCCTCTCCTTGAGCTGTCCTCACCGCCTTCTCAGACCCGCCTTCCGTGGCCGGGCCCGCACACATGCCAGCCCTCCGCCCACCCTCCCCGGCCTTTGCCGGCAGCCACGCTATGTTTTACCCATAAGTCTTTCTACACTGCGGTTTCTCAAGAGACTGAAGACAGTTTAAATCCCCAGACACCTCCTTTCAGGTCTATTTCTCTCTGAAAAAGCGCTCACCTTAGAAAACCTGGTGGAACCTGAGTTTGATCCTTATACCAACTAATGACAGAGACTCGCTGTCCTAAATGGTCACAGCCTCCCCAGCTGCCGGCTGCCTCCGTGGGGCGCAGGGTCTGAGCACCGCTGGACTCAGCCATCACTGGCCATCGCTCCAGGGGGCGCCCACGCTGTCCCCGCCAAGCAGGAGGCCACCGGCATCTGCCTTTGGACTAGAAGGATGGATGGTCACAGCACTTGGCCTTTCAAGGAAGACTGGACGCTGCCCCGCCCCTTCCCAATCTCCCACGGCCTCAGCCTTCAGCACCCCCTCCAGGAAGGGCTCTCCACCAGCTACACAGGGTGCTTGCAACAGGCAAGTGCCCCCTTCCTGTGAGCCCGGCCTGGGCAGAAGGTGCCTGGCTGTGCCACCCAGGCTGTGCCACTCAGGCAGGGAGGGGGCGTGGAGAGCACCGCCCTGGAGGTGGGGGACAGTGTGTGTGGCGGGAGAACTTGGCAGATCGGAGCACACCCCTCCAAACCCTCAGAGGCTGGCCTGGGAGCTCAGCGCCGTTCAGCTCATCTCTTTCCAGCCGTCTAAACTTGCAGTGGACTGTGCCCTGACGCCCTGGGCCGGGGAGGCCAAGCGCGGGGAGGGCGCCTCTGGGGTCTGCGCCCCGCGTGTCCTGCCCGCGGGTACAGAGACCCTGGCACCACCGCGGGCCACCCTGGCACGGGGAGGACGGTGGGAGACAATCAGAAATGCCTCTCCCGGAGCTCAGCCAAGCACATCAGAGCCCTTTGGAGAGCACCTAACAGCGAGAGCCAGCGCAGCTCAGCTCCGCGTCCTCACTCGCCCCGGGTCCCCCACGCCCCAGGTCTCCCGGGACCCGATCCCCGCAGCTGCCCTCCGCGCTCGCCCCTGCTCCTCTCGGTTCCGAAGGCTCCTCTGCTCTCCCCGGCGGCCCTGCAGCCCGCGGGGTCCCGGGTGCCCGGGGCGCTGGATTTTGCTCTCAGCGCCTCGTGCCTCTGGCACCCCATTGAGGACCTGAGGTTGGGGCCCCACGCTGGCACCAGCAGGCAGCTCCCAAGGGAGCGCCCCATTCTCAGGCTTTAAAATTTCCTCTTTAAAAAAAAGGCACCGGCGATTCCAGCCCGCGGGAGCCACAGAGGCGAGCCTGGAGGCAGCCCCGCCAGCCTCACCCGCAAACCAGCCGGGCGGCATCCGCGGCGACCCCGGGCCGCAGGCAGGTGCCCGGCCATCTGAGCGGTCTGACCCTTTGGGGAAAGCCAGTCCGAATTCGCTAAAAGTCCCCACTAAACAAAGGGTGACAGATGCAGTCGTGGCAAAATGACCTCTTGAGAATCTTACCTGAAACTAAGCCAGCGGCTGTGAAGAAGCGGGTCCCTCAGATGATCTGGGCCGGTTCTGTCTAGCAGAATGGAACCAAGCGATGCTTCCACCTTCCTGGAGCAACACGGAGGGCCAAAGTAAACAACTCCAGCTTCTCCAGCTGCACAGAGGAGTGAAGACTTGTCGTGCAGCAGGACGCTCAGGGAGAGACATTTTTCTTTCATGCACTAAACTTGTAAGCCAGCGTAAGGAGAGATTTGTGGCGAGACCCCACGGTCAATATTTGTCTATTTGGAAGCTAAAGAGCCTTCTTAACCAGAGGATTCCTAACCATGCTTTTGACCGCCTCTTACCCAGTGGCCTCTGCCGGGAGAGCTTTCTCAGAATATTGAGATCTGGACCTAAGATTCGGGGAGGCAACATCAACCCTGAATTTAAGACCAGGAGGCGCACGTTCTAGCTGGGCTCCCCCCACGAGCTGCGGGCTATTTAGTAAACACCGGGGGGAAAAGTCACAGAGTCACGACGCCACGGCCCAGGGACAGCCTGTCAGGAGCAGATGTTTGTGAGTTTTTTTTGTTTTTTTTTTTGTGGGACCCTCCCCAGCGGCCAGGGATTGAACTGGCGCTGCAGAGGCTGCGGACAGCCTCTCAGCCCAGCGCTCAACCGCTGCGCCAGCGGGGAGGTCCTTTTTGTGAGTTTTACATTCAAAATGGATCCTCATGCAAAAGAAACACTTTCCAGAGTCCTTCTGCCTAAAATGGTGAAAGACAGAAAATGTGGGTCAAACTGTTTAAAATTGTCACCCACAGACGGCCCGGGCAGCCCCATGTGCTCCCCGCCAAGTTGTGGTTTGGGTCCCTTTCATTTTCTCTTTGCAGAGTTCTCCGCCAGCGCTCACCTCCTGGGCACGGGAGCGGGCGCACAGGGACCACAGGCGGAGTTGGCGACAGACCTAACCATGAACACAGGTCTGGGTGCTGCTTCCACTAGGCCCTGCACGCCTGCGGGGGTCACACCCCTCTATCCGACTGCACAACCAAGGATGTGAGAGCTACAGGGTCTAGCAAGTCAGGTCTGCATGCAAACTTGTTTTAAACAATTGCTAAAGGTTTCAAGAGCTTTTAAATCTGGTCTGATGTGTGTTTACAAATTTTTTAAAAGATTTTCTTTTATTTATGCATACAAGAACTGGGGTACAGGCCAGAGGTGCAGGGGGCGAGAGGATTCATCAGAGACAGAGTGGGGAGCAGAACAGGTGGATCCACTGAAATCCACTGCTGAGGGGAGCAGCGGGCGAGTCAGGAGAGTCTGCTGCGCCATGTGGGTAGCTCCCCGGCCCGGCCCGGGGATTGAGGGAATTGAACAAGTGCTACAGCTTCATAGTGCTGAGACTTAACCCCTGCACTACCAGGGAGGCCCCTGGCTTGATGTTTCATAGACCATGAAGACTGGGTGTCGGTTGAATATCTGATTGGATGGTGAGGTCTTAAAGAAAAAATATAACCCAGCACTCGGGCTGCAGGTACATAAGTGCTGAGCTGGTAAATGCTGCCCGTGTGAGGCCATGCGGCATGATCCGGCAGGCAGTTCACACACCAAGTGGTCTTTCATGCTATTTCCTTGCATCCTAGGGCTTGGTGCCGTATTTCTTAAAGGACGAGTATCATGTAATAATAATACTAATTACAAATGTGGGTTTAACATTTCTATAAACCCATAATTTTAGGGGAAAAAATGCTAACCTAAATTTAAGATCAGGAACACATAACAACATTTCCTAGAACTACCAACATTTCGTAACACACAGTTTGGGAAATGACATTTTCACATAAATCCAGCAAGTTTTAAGAGTATAGAAAATTTTTTCTTCTCCTCCAAAGTTTAAAAAAATCAAAGCAAGAATCCATGGGGCCTGGTCCAGGAGAGACGCCTAGAGGGCGACTGGGCATCCTGCTCCTTGCGGGCGGCTCGGCACAGAGTCAGGACCTGCATGGCCCGCATCCTCAGGCGTCCCTGTGCGCCTGCCGAGCGGACGCCAGAGCCTGACCGTGAAAGCGACGCTGAAACCCCCGTGCCCCCGTGGCCGGCGGCTCAGCTCCCCGGCAGAAAGCAGCCTGCGCTCGCTGCTCCGCAGCTAAGAAGCACGTGAGGCGCTGTCTTTGGAAAGAAGAGCTACGACCCACGTCCTAAGTAAACACGCCCCCTCTTCTCTGGCCTGCCTCTGATGCTGCAGGAAGGACTAGAGGATCATGCCAGCGGTCACCAAGCCCCCACCTTGCCCTTTGAAAAGCTGCAAAGGAGAAAAGGACTTTGGCACCTTGAAGGTGGCAACAACAGTCGCGGCCCCGCAGCAGGGGCCAGGATGGCGCGTGGGAGCAAAGAGCCAGTCTCAACCTTCCTCCTGAAGCTTTACACACACACCCTCGCAAGCCTCCACACAGGCCGCAGGGCCATGCAAGGGCATGGGGCCCCCTTAGGAATATGCCCTGCTCCCCGCTCCATTCGGGAGGAATTTCTCCTAACCCAAGATTTAGAATTTCTGATCCACGAATTCCAGCTGAAATGTTTGAAGTAATAAGTCACTTTTCAGTGAAATCAACAATCCCGTACATTCCTGCTCCTTCTGTCTCCCCCACCCCCAATACAAAACCACACTGAAGTTCAGAGAATAAACGTGCCCCAGGCCCACGGTTTGATCCAGGAAGAAGCCTGATCCAGGCTGGCAGAGCCGGCGCCACTGGCCGTGACTCACTCATTCTCGGCTCCGTCTCAAAGGTCTACGAGGTGCCGGGTGCATCGAAGGCCTACTGGGTGCTCGGTGCTTGGCAAGTCAGCACAAGCGAAGAGCTCACCTTGCAGAGCTTCCATTCCAGCAGAGGGAGACAAATAACGGGTAATAGACGGGCGAGCAACCAGACCTCACGTGCGGTATTCAAAACCTTGGCTTTCTTGTCATGATTCCTTTTGGGATTATCAACTGCAGAAGGTTTCTCGGGTACCGAGGGGATGCCCAGATGTCCCAGGGAAAGCACAGAGAGCTCGAGGCAGGTTTATTTACACACTGAGTGGGCACCTGTCCCGGGAATGTGGTAATGAATGAAGGATCCAGCATCCTATGAGCTACTCCCCCAACCACACATGGTGTGTGTGTAGTGGGGGGACAGGCCAGATGCACGGGAGGGTGAGAGGATCCACCAGAGACAGAGTGGGGAGCAGAACAGGCAGACTGACTGAAATCCACTGCTGAGGGGAGCAGCGGGGAGACAGGAGGGGTCTGCTGCGCCACGTGGGTTGCTCCCTGGCGGGCCGGGAATCAAATTCATGCTGCAGAGGCTGCGGACAGCGTCATAGTGCGGTGCTTAACCCCTTGCGCCACCAGGGAGGCCCCAGCAAAGTTTTATTTCAACTGCAGATGTTAGTTGGCTGAGAACAGTTTTGGGAAACAGCCATGAAGGCAACAGCCAATCTGTTTTCAAGTCGAGGATGGGGGTGCAGCGGGGGATGGCGAGGGCGCTGACGGTAAACATTTTCACAGTTTTAGTCTAAAACTTAGAGCCGTGAACTCCTCCCCCAGGACCGGGTCTCGCGCTGCCTCTAAGATGACGCCATCAGCTGAGGCGCATAAACATGGCATTGGGATGACTAACTTGCACATTCTTTGTGAGCATTTTTAAAATTATTATTATTTGTAATGCAGTCTCCATTTCATGTTTGTAGATGGATTTTAAAAAACTAAAATAGAAAGACCGACCGAAAACACGTCAGATAAAGACAGATTAAAGGTTTTTATGATTCAGTTGGAAGAAAGGAGGTTGAAGCAGATTTAATTAATAACTGTCTTCAATTATTTGAAGGTTTATCATTCAGGTGACATATTGTTCTTGGTTTCCAAATGCCAGAAGAGGTGCTGTCCTTAGCTATAACAGGAAGGACTGAGGCCAGAGCTTGTCAATGCTGTGAGCCTGAGGAGGAAGGTAAAATCAATTCCTATCTGGCCCTTTATTGCTCAGCCAGTAAGCGTGTTATTTTCCATGATGCAGATAAAGTGTCTTATCACTAAATGGGTCACACTCAGAAGTCCCTACATTACTTTGATGAACCTTAATCTATCAACCGCTAGTCCAACTTGGAGATAGTTTCAGACTAAGCAAAGATCCAGGATGCCCTTGATGCCATCAATTCAACCTAAAATAAATGCACCGTCCTCAATCCCACCTGTGAGTCCAGGGTATTCTAAGGACATTGTTGATCTCACAGTGGGCCCTGGGGCTCTCTAGGGGGCCTAAGAAGCAGAGGTTCAAGGGGTCTCCCTGGTGGCAAAGGCGGTTGAGCGCAGCACTGAGAAGCTGTCTGCAGCCTCTGCAGCGCCAGTTCGATCCCCGGCTGGCCAGGGAGCTACCCACAGGGTGCGGCAGACCTCTCCTGTCTCACCCGCTGCTCCCCTCAGCTGCATATTTTGTCAGTCTGCCTGGTCTGTTCCCCGCTCTGTCTCTGGTGAATCCTCTCACACACGCACACCCCACCTCAGGCCTGTAAACCCCGCCCCCCCATTCTTGTATGCTTAAATAAATAAATCTTAAAAAAAAAAAGCAGAGGTTCATGAATCAAAGCACAGATGAAACAACTTACAAAAAAGACAAACAAAACCAGACTATGCGTCTGTCTTCTGCGCAGAAGCGAAGCCCCATTCCAAAGCGACACGTGTACTTGTCCACAATGGCCCTCAGACTGTGGGGTGGCCAGACCATCTTCAGACTCGGACCCTGAAGTGATCCTGGAGCCAAACTGTCCGGAAAACACAACAAATACGAGTCCTTCTTCCCCTTTCTCTTGAAATTAAAACCAAACCAGTAGCAGCCTACGTGGGCAGGGACGGGCGGCCAGACGCTCTCGGGCCCTGCCCGGGTCCCCTCCTGGCGCTGGAGGGCGCGGGCGAGGGCTGCGGGAAGGCGCGGGCCGGCAGGGGTGCTCCAGGCCCGCCCACGACACACTGTCCTCCGGGGGCGCGGGTGGGGCCAGTCCGGAGGTCCCCGCCGCCCCAGGTCGTGCCCTTGTCTTTCCCCCTTTTGACTGAATTCACTGTAAACCCCAGATGGAGCGCGTGCCCACCTCGGCAGCCCCCCCATCCCCAGCTCCGTGAGCTCCTGTACCTCCAAACCCGCCAAAGTGGGGCTGTGGTGAGTGGCTGGAGAATCTGGTCTAATCCAAGCACCCCCACCCCCGCCCCCGCCCCCTATCTCTGCCCCACGCCCCGGGACAGGTTAAAATACCCTCCGCTTTCCTCAGCTGCAAGCGCGGGCGCTGGCATGAGAACGCTCGCTGGGGCTCGTCCAGAGTCTCTGGGTCTCGCCGCCTGCAGCCTGGAGACTGTCAGACTGTAAATGGCCACACGGCTGTCCACACAACCTCCCCCCCCAGAAGGAAATTCCTTGCAACGAGGAACAGAAGCCCAGCGACAGACCTTGGTTAGCAGCAGCTGGTGGTGGTCAGAACCTGGCGGTGGCCACGGTGGCCACGTGGAGGAGAGAAGGGAGTCCCCCACCCCCGCGGACCCCCAGGCCTTGTTGAGCAATGGGGCAGCCCAAATCTCTGCCCCAGGGCAGGAAAGAACTAGGATTCAAAGGGACCCCCACAGGCCACACTTGCCCTCCCTCCCTCAGGACTGATTACACCAGCCCCTCCTGCTGTGCTCCAGAGAGACAGGCAGCCCTGATCTCTGCCAGATTCTTTCTTTCGTTTTTTTCAGATTTATTTTATTTATTTATGCATCCATGGCTGGGGCGCAGGCCAGAGGTGCAGGGGATGAGAGGACTCACCAGAGACATAGTGGGGAGCAGAACAGGCGGATCTACTGAAATCCTCCTGCTGAAATCCACAGGAGAGGTCTGCTGCGACATGTGGGTCAGCTCCCTGGCCCGGGACAGCTGGATAGCGCTGAGACTTAACCCCTTGTGCCACCAGGGAGGCCCTGATCTCTGCCCGTTTCATTTAGCAAACAGGAGTTGCCCGGGGCCAGTAAGGAAGCAGAGACTGGAAATGATCACTGGCATCTTGCTACAACTATCAGCTTTCCTTTGAACCTCAGGTCTCTTGACTCAGGGCGGGTGACCCAGGGAAGAAAAGGGGGTTTGAGATGTGTGTGCAGAAAGCTTGTTGGGTCACGCACTCAGGCCCGACGAGTTAGAGAAGCCACACCTGGCACCTGGCAGGTTGAACTTGCATGCCCTTGGGAGCCTCGGCCTGTTGTGCTGGGAGCGAGGGGCTGGGATCGAGGCAAGGCTGGCGGCCCCGCAGCCTGTGCAGACTGGATCCGGGGCAAAAGAACAGGGAGAGCAGCCATGGTGCCCCGAAAAGGCATGCTGTGGATTTGGGGGTTAGTTTGTTGAGGAGGAAAACAGAGCACAGCCCTCTCCTCCGTCAACCCCCTTCAGAGGGGGAGGGGAGGCCGGGCTGGGGGTGTCTTAGAGCAGGGGGACAGGCAGGACAGGCTGGGAGCCAACTCAGCTGAGGACAGGCAGGTCCTGATGAACCCTATAACTGCGCAGTGAGGCACCCAGGGCTAGGCTAGCTGCCAGCCAGGGACGGGGTGTCTGCAAAAGGCTTCAAATAGCTCCAGAGGGCTTGCCAGCTGCCCTGGGGTATCCTGCTCACTCGGAAGCCACTGGCAACGGGACAAGGGCACCGCAGGGGCCGGCACTTCCGGCCCCCCACAGCTGTAGGCGTTCAAGTCTCTATGTGCCCATGGCCATATCAGGCCAGGCCCTGGCAGCAGGACTCAGCTGGCCTTGCCTGCAGCCATGCCCCCTCTTCCTCATCCTCCTCCCCGCCCAGGCCAGACATCTGCTGAGTCTTGAGCCTCAGTATCTTGAAGCACTCTCTCCCATCCTCCATGCAAGGCATTTCGGGGTCCCCGGCTGTGGGAGCCGGGGACTGGGGAGCTGTCCCGAGGCTGAGCCCACCCAGGTCACCCTTTGTCAGGGCGCCTGTCACTGAGCGTGCACCTGTGTTCTCTGTGTGACGACACCCGCCAGGGGGTTGAAAATGAAATAGAAGCAACCCCCCCATACCTCCCAAAGGCTGACCTTTATGGCAGAGCAGCTACCAAAAAACTGGAGAACAGAGACCCCCAGACACCCTAAAGCACTCTCCTGGGCACTTGAAGGAACCAAAAGGAAAAACGCACTGTCTGAGGTACACCGGTCTCCCCGGGCTTGTGTAGTATTTAGTCTTTCATATTGATTCAGTTAACAAAGAATTTTCCAGGGTCTTTGACAGGCCTTTGCTGTCCCATCACCTCACTGCTGCAAAGCCATTCACCCCAAACTTCATAACAAGGAACTTGCAGGGTCTAGAATCGAGAAGTAAAATAAGAAATGACTGACCACATAAAAAATGAAAAAAAAAAAAAAAACCTGCATGGTAATAAATAAGTTCAAAAGTCAAATGGTAAGTTTTTGGGGAAAAAATATGCAAGTCGTCACGTAGGAAAAATTAATCTGTAACTGATATTTCAGAGTTTTGAGAAATCAGGGAAAACTGAAAAAATATGGAGAAAAATACTTAAAGCCAGCTCATTTTTTTAAAATGCAAATAGTCCTTCAGCATATAAAAAGATGATTAGGCCCACTTATAAGAAAAGATAACTTACTCACCAACACCCCGTGATACAATTTCTTATCCACCAAATCAACACCATTCAAAAGGTCTGTCGGGCAGGAGAAGCACAAGCCTGTGGCACAGGGTGGGGTGCAACCCGGGACAGTCTGGGCACCACAGAAACGTCTAGTAACATTACGAATGTGCTTGGCTCTGCTCTCCCACCCCTGGGGAGTCTACCTGGGTTATCACTGCATGTACGACTTGTTGCAAATCAAAGAACGGGGGGAAACTGTCATTTTCCCTTTATAGAGGAACAGGAAAATAGAAATGGGGCGTGTTCACACAACAGAAGGTCACACGGCGTAAGAAAGAGAATGGGAATAAAAATAAAATTTATTATTTAAAAAAAAAAGAAAGAAAGAGAATGGGAAACCTTGTGCTTGTCTGTGAAGGTGGAAAAAGCGCTTGGTGGGACCCGCACACACCACCCGCCCCTCTGGGGCCAGAGAAGTGGACAGTTGTCCACAGGCACATTAAAATATTAAAATGAACCAAAGAATCCTAAGAACTGAATAGAAGTTTCTGGAAGGGAGCGGTGGGAGTGGGGTGAACAGGGGCAGGGTGAAAACAAGGGAACCCCCTGCACGTGGCGTTTCATCTGGGACCAGGTAGGCGCAAGACCCCTTCAAAAACACGACACTAGACGCAGCGCGGAGGCCGGCCCCCGCCAGGCCCGCCCTGCGGACACAGTACAACCGTTTTCAGAAACGTAAATTTTTCATGATTAGGATCCAAGTGCGACAAAACAAAGCCGCGTGAGGACGGCTGTTGAGCGTTTCTCGGCACAACGAACAAGTCTAGACCCTAAGCCAAGTGCGCTCACCGGGTTTTAAACACCCACTCTCGGGTGCTGGGGTGAGGTCGGGGCCACAGAGGGGCGGGGGCGGCGCCGAGCCCCCGGGCGGCCCTGCCGTCCCCAACGTCCCCGCGGCGCGCGACCTTGGTGCGAAGCCAGCAGCCGGCCCGGCAGGCTCCGGCACCAGACGCCCCGCTCCCCGGGCCGCGACGCCAGGAGCGCCCCTGTGGGGAGGAGCCTCCGCTCTGGTGCTCAGAGGACCTAACCGAGCACAGAAACGGGAGAGAAAGTTCTGGGGCCTTGGGAGGACCCCGCCCCGGGAACCCTGGCCCCCGCCTCTGGCCCGCGCCGGCTCCTGTGTGCATGCACAAAGAAATCTTTTTTTTAAAAAAAGGCCTTAGGAGGGACGTTCTCAGCCCTTCTCACCCGGTGCGTCGGCAGGAGTCGCGCGCCCGCCGCCCCCGCGCTCCGGGGATGCTGAGGCCAGGAACGCTGGACACGGGCCGCCCGGGCTGACCAGCGCGCGAGGGTGGCGGCACCACCCGGCCGGGGGGCGGGGCGGCCTCCCCGAGGGCTGAGCGAGGCCTCCCCGGGGCCGCCGCGCGCTTCCTGCAGGCGGCGACGCCGGCCGCGCCTGGGGGGGCGGGGCTCCGGGACGTGGGGGCAGCGCGGACCCGGGCCGCCCGCCCGCGGCCGCTGCTCCCAGCCCCGCGCGGGGGTGCGCGGCCCCGGGCGCCGCCAGGGAGGGGGTCCGCCGCCCCGTGTCCGGCGGAGCCTCCGCGGCTCCCCGCGACGCCGCCCGGGGCGGCCGGGGCTGTGGACGCGGTCTGGCCACCGCCCGGATCCCCACGGCTGGACTCACGGCCGCGCCAGGCGGGCTGGGCGGCCTCCCAGGGCAGGCGGCGACTCCGCAGCGCGTCCCGTCGGGTCGGAGCCGAGGGCCAGGCCCCGCCCCCGGGCTCCACGCGCGGCCAGGCCCGAGAGGAGCCCCCGCGCCGGGGCCAGGCCCGGCCAGGGAGGGGGCGGGGCCTTCGGGGGCGGGGCCTGGACGGAGGCGGGCGGGGCCTTCGGGGGCCGGGGCCGGGGGCCGGGGCCTGGACGGAGGCGGGCGGGGCCTTCAAGGGCCGGGGGCGGGGCCTGACCCGTGACGGGCGGGGCCTCCGGGGGCGGGGCCTGGACGGGGCGGGCGGGGCCTTCGGGGGCCGGGCCCGGGGCCGGGTGGGGCGGGGCCTCCGAAGGGCGGGCACCGGAACTTGGGGCGCCCCTCCCCGGCGCCCGGGCGGCCCTGCAGTGACGGCAGCCGAGCGGCCGCGGGACCGGAGCAATGGGTGAAACTCCGCCCTGGGCCCTTAGACCGGGGCGCGACGGGGGGGCCTCGGGCGCGCCCCCGCCCGCCCCGTGGCCTGGGCCGCGGGGGACGGCGCGGGGCCCGCGGGGTTCGCTCTCCGCGCCGCCTCCTGGGTGGCCGATGGTGGGAGGGCGGGGCGGCAGGGCCCCCGGAGACCCCCGGCTCGAGGAGCGCGCGCGCGTCTGGGGTCACGCAGGTCCCCCCGGGCCGGGAGGGCCAAGTGGGGCAAAGGTCAGCGCCGGGGTGGGGGGGGACCCGCGCGCGGGGGGCTGAGGCGCCTGCCCGGACCTCGGCGCCCGCGGGGACCCAGCGCTGGGAGCAGGGGAGCCCCCCAGCCGCCCTGGCCCGCAGCCGCGGGGCGCGGGAAGTGCCGGCGGGGTGACTGCCCGTGGTCGGCAGCCCCGCGGGGAAGGACGCCGAGCCCGGAGGTTCTGGTCACTCGCCCAAGGTCACACGCCGTGAGGCAGAGCCCGGGCCTGGCCAGCCCCCCGGAAAGTTCTGCTATGAATCCCTTCAAGGCGCTCGGCCCCCGGTGTCCCAGTTTCCGTCCCTCTCTTCGGGGTGTCCGGAGCCCTTGTCTGGCCCTCCCCAGCCCCCCAGGGCAGTGGGCAGCGGGCCCTGCATGGGGCACAGGTCCAGGGCAGGGGCGGCCGCGCGCTCAGGGGCTGCTGGCTGCCCCCAGGTCTGCTGTCAGAGCTGAAGCTGGCCGTGCCCTGGGGCCACATCGCAGCCAAAGCCTGGGGCTCCCAGCAGGCGCCCCCGATTCTCTGCCTGCACGGCTGGCTGGACAACGCCAACTCCTTCGACAGACTCATCCCTCTTCTCCCGAAAGGTGGGGCCGGGTGGGGGTGAGGGGGTGGCGGGGTGAGGGGCCGGGAAGGAGGAGGGCCAGGAAGCCGCTAACCTACACCTTCTCCCACCCCCTTCTCTCGGCATCAGACTTTCATTATGTTGCCATGGATTTTGGGGGTCATGGGCTCTCGTCCCATTATAGCCCGGGGCTCCCGTATTTCCACCAGAACTTTGTGAGTGAGATCCGAAGAGTGGCGGCCGGTGAGTAAGGGGGGTGTGTGTGGTGGGGGTGCTCGGGACATCCCCTCTCGTCTTCGGAACGGGGTGCAGCGCTGGCTTGGGTGTAAGGGGGCCTGGCCCCAGTTCTGCCAGGAGTTCATGGGTGACTTTGGGGAAGTTGGGCCCATCCCGATGCGCCTCCTGTGTTTTCAGCCTTGAAGTGGAGCCGGTTTTCCCTCATAGGCCACAGCTTTGGTGAGTACACGCGGCCACGACCCGACTGGGCTGGGGAGCTGGGCCTGTGGCGGAGGGAGAGGGGCTGGTGCCCTGTACCGCGTCTCCCCTGCATTCTGGGACCTGCACGGAGAGGGGAGGCCACTGCCCGGAGGGACACAGGCCCGTACGCGCTGAGCGTTCAGGTCTGATGAAGAGGCCGCATGGCCCAGGGAGGGAGCCCTGCTCTGCTAGTGCGGGGGCGACTGTCCCTGGGGAGGCTGCACAGGATTGGGGGGCTGGAAAGGGTGAAAGAGTGCCAGCCAACTGCTCTTTTGCCCTGCAGGTGGCATTGTGGGCGGAATGGTGAGTAGATGACCCTGCCGTGACCACCTCTGGCCACCTTGGGTGCCCCGGCAGGCAGGGTGGGGAGAGCCAGTGCAGGGAGGGGAAGTTCCCGGAGCTGGGAAGCGCCTCAAATCCTGAGTTTCAAGCCCATGATTCATTAGCTGGGCCTGTTTGCTTTGTAGAGGCGGTAACAGGGTTGTGGGGACACCGGCTGAAAGGGTGACAGTTCCCAAGGGGGTTCAGTGCCTCACCCTCCCTGTGGCCTCTACCAGGGTACCCCGAATCTGGCCCCTCCCTGGAGCTGTCTCAGGAAGCACTAGTGTCCCGGGAGCGCTTGGGCGCCTTTGCCTTCTCCCTGTCCTGCTCATTCTCGTCTCTGTGTCACGCCTCAGTTTTCCTGCATCTTCCCCGAGATGGTGGACAAGCTGGTCTTGCTGGAGTCAGTGCCGTTTGCTCTGGACTCCCAGGTAACAGCGGGGCTCCTGGGCATGCTGCCGCTGGGGAGACCTGGGGTCTGGGGGTGCCCTCTGCCCTGTCTCCTTTGGGGGGTCCCATGGAGGCCGGAGGTGCAGGGAGTAGACAAAGGGATCAGACCCCCGAGGCTTATACCCCCAGAAATGGCAAGGAAAGGGGCGCAGGGGCCTCTGTCACCCTTGGAAACGCCGTGTGTGGCCGCAGAATCACAGTGACTGATGGGGTGCGAGGGCAGGGACAGTGGCTGAGGAAGCGGGGGGCACACAGCGAGCCCACGCCTGCCCAGAGTGCGCGGGCCCTGCGGGACCCAGGTCTCCCCTTCCTGCGTCACTCACCGAGTTGACAGCGGTGCTCCGGGGTCTGGGCGCCTCCGCGTTGTCTGGGCGAGCGCCTGGTCCTCCCTGTCCCCCCGGGGTTGAGGGGGGCATGTCACTTCGGCGGCTGAGCCAGCAGTACACCATGGACAGGCCCAGGCAGGACTGGAGGGCGTGCTGGGGTGTGGGGCCGGGGTCCCTGAGCTGCCCCCAGCCGGCCGTCCTCGCCCCACCGTCTGGAATGAGAACGCGGCCTAGCCAGCCAGGCTGGTCCTGCGTGCCAGCACCGGGTCAGCAGGAATCCTGCTCGGCGGAATGAGGGGCTGCTGGGTGCAGCCGAGATCCCTGCCCACCCAGCGGAACCTGCCATCTGCAGGAAATGCCCAACCTCCTGACCTACAAGCGGAAGGCCATAGAACACACACTGCAGCTAGAGGCGGCCCAGAAGCCCTCCCGCGTGGTCAGCCCGGCGGAGATGCTGCAGGGGTGCGTGCGGGGGGCAGGCCCGGGCAGGGGTGTCTGCGGGAGTGGTGGGAGAAGTCTCAGGGGCCGAGCGGTAGCGTCCATCTCCTCAAAAATCCCCCAGCCTGTTCTCTGTGTTTTGCTAGGCATCAGGCTTCCTGGCACTGCCGTCCCCAGCGGGGGCATCTGCCGTCATCCTCGCCCTCTCGCCGTGCCCTCCCCTTCTGATGGCCCCGGCCAGCCCCTGCTCTCCCTGCAAGCAGGCCCGGGCGTGCGCGCACAGCCTCTCTCTGCCTCCCCCGCCTTTTCTTCCTTCTGCCAGGGCCTCCCTCCCCTCCTGGCACTTTGCCGACTCCCCCAACTCCTCCTTCGCGCCTCGCTGCTGCCCCCCAGAAGCCTGCCCGGCTCCCCAGGGAGCTGCCCTTTCCTGCCTATAGGTGACCACAGGCCTGTGGGTGGTGACCACATGGGTGGCTTTTGTCTACGCTTCTGGAGTTTGTGGTCATGGCCCAGTGCCCAGTAGGTCACCGCTCTGTAAATCGCTGTCGTCTCAGGAATGGAATCGGGCACGCACCGGCGCCCTCGCGCTGCCGTCAGCAAGCACCCCGTCCTTCGGGTGCCTCCGTCCCTGCAGCCTCTGCTCTTTGTCAGCCTGTTTTTTTTTTGTGTGTGGGACCCTCGCCGGTGGCCGGGGAGCGAACTGGCGCTGCAGAGGCTGCGGGCAGCCTCCCAACTCAGCGCTCAGCCACTGCGCCACCAGGGGAGGCCCTCGTTGTCAGCCTTTTTGCCCCAAAGCATTGAGCAACTTTTTTTGTCCCCAGGTTCCTGAAGAACAACAGTCACGTGGGGGAGGACGGAGGGCAGCTCATCCTGCAGAGAGGAACCACGCAGGTGGCCAAAGGTGAGAGACTCCCCGTCCACGGCCGTTGCCACGGACAGGCCTGTGTCATCCCTGCTGCTCCGGGGCCGGTGTGACCCCAGCGCTCTGCAGAGCCGCCCCATCCTCCTGGCGTCCCGTCTTCCTCCCATTTAGAGCTGGAGAAGCTGACTCAGAAAGGCCTAGCGACTTGTGCCGGGTCCTGAGAAAGCGTGTCCACTGGGGAGCTGGGTCCCAAGTCTTGGGACTAAATGTTGGGGACCTTGGGCAGCCTCAAGCCCGGGTTCTTCACACTTTGTTCTCTGATAAATGCAGCCGGGAAACCTTTACTAAGGGTCTGCCGTGTGCCCAAGCCCAAGCCAGGCTGCAAGGGCTCATGGGAGGGCCTGCTCCAGGAGGGGGTCCAGAAGCAGCCCCGGGAGGTAAAGTAAAAGTCCGAGGGAGACAAGGGGCAAGATGGACCATGTCCACCCTGTGCTGGGCAGAGAACAGGGTCCAGTTCCTGACTCTGCTCTTCGGCCATCTCGGACAGGTCTCTTCTCGCTTAGGCTCCGCTGGCTGTCTCGGGGGGCCAGGTCTGAGACTTCTGTGCTCAGGGGCTGAGTGCATCTAGCGAGGGGCTGACTGAATTCAGTGTATAAAGTACCAGCTGAGGCAGAGTAGCTGGCAAGTAGTAGGGTTAATCTGCGAGGAGCGAGGCGTGTGGAGCAGAGGGGGCTGTGGAACTGGAGACCTGCCTCGAAGGGCGGCCCAGCCGGGGTTACTCTGTGGGCTCTTGGGTCTGGTGTGGCCAGAATTTCCAGTTACTCGGGAGAAGCCAGAGCTATGTTGTGTTTTTCTTCCAGAAATTAACCACATACTGTGAGATAAATGGGGTGCGCCAATGGCTCTTTGGACCTCGGGCTGCCAGTTTGTGGTCTCTTAGGGGGCAAGGGAGTTGTCTTAGTTACCGTCCCTGAAGCCTCCCTGCAGATTCATGGTGGAGAGAGGAGATGAGGGCAGAAGGCCATGGACCCGGGCTTCCCCGACATGCCCACACGGGTGGCCCATCGAGAGGGCCCAGGCGCAGAAGTGGGCTAATCTGGACTAAGACCAGCTCCAGCAGACAGCAGATTAGGCCAGGCCAGGGCCACGTGAGGTGGTGATACAGACGCTGAGCAGTTGTCGTGGGCGGGGGTGTTGCTGGAAGGCGGGGGTTGGGGGGGTAGGTGGCTGGATCATTCTGTGGGGAACTTCTGCAGCAGTCACGGCCGTTTGGGGCCCGGGGTTAACCTATAAGAAGACCCATCAGGCTCCCAGGCCTCTGGGTGCCTCCTTGGTTGAGGCGACCCCAGGGCAGCCACTGTCTGGGCTCCTCCCCTCACAAGTTCTCCCCACCAGGCCCCCAAGGCCCCGTTCCAGGCTGGAGAGGGCAGAGCGCCGCGGCAGCCGCCTCCCCATCCCCGCGTCCCTGGAGTACCTGAAGGTGGAAACAGCAGACACTTATTTTCTCACGGTTCTTGAGGGCAGAATCCCAGGACCTGGGTCAGGACTGGTTCCCTCTGAGGCGTGGCACTGACACGGGCCTCCGGGGGCCTGTGGCTCGTGTGGCAGCCCTCCCTGTGTCCCTGCAGAGTGTGAGGTGAGAGGGTAGGATGGGGGAGGGGTCCGATGTGGCGGGGCCTGCAGTTCGCTCTTCGGAGCGGAGTGTGCCGGGCTGGCTGGCTTTGGAAGGTGACCTGGGGCGCTGAGGCCGGTGAGGGTCACAGTCCAGGAGGAAGGTGATCCAAGTGGAGGCAGCTGCCGGGGAAGGTTTTGAGGCACAAGCTGGGTCTGGCTCATGGGGCTTTGGGGGAGCCGAGCAGGCCCCTGGCTCATGACAGAGGACAGTAGCCGGTACCCGCCCACGCTGCCAGGGACGCTCGGGCCCAGCATGTTTGACCTGCGTGGTTTAAACACGAGCATTTGGCATGAGGGGGACTGAGTAGGTTGCCCATATTTTATGTAAAATGTTTTATGTAAAAATGGAGGTTTCGTCTCTTGCAAACCGGGAGCCCTGACAACACATTCTGCTGGCCCCTTGGGCAGCAGCCAGCTGGAGAGGCGCCCCACCATGTGAGCAGCCTGCAAGGGGCCTCTGCTGGCCTCTTGAGTATACGGCAGAGACGGGGCGGGAGCAGGTGGAAAGGTTTCCCGAGTTCGCACTGCCTCTGACTGCGGGTCCTGGGAAGCTCCTGGCTCCCGCCCAGCAGGCATGTGCCAGACAGAACCAGCCTGGGGTCACCCTGGAGGAGGTGGGGGGTGGGGAGGGAGGCCCTGCGGAGGCCCTGCCCACTGGGGCATGTCCAGCTCTGTAGGGGGGGCAGCCTTGGGGTGGGGGCAGGTCAGCAGTGGGCATGGTGTTCACGCCAGAAGCAAAGCCGCTCTCCGAGGGTTTTGATTGGAAGTGGGGAGCACCGGGTGGCATCTGCTGTTCTAGACCAGCCTGGCTGTGGTTTGGGACCCTCGGCCCACCCTGGCCCAGGCTAGGGTGAGGGCGTCTCACCCTCGGCTTTCCTGCTGCTGTTGACTGGAGTTCGGGGGTCCCCAGGACTCAGGAGGACAGAAAGTCTCCTGCCAGGGGTGCCCGCAAACTCGAACCCCTTAGGGAAACCGTTGCAAGATGGGTGTCCCCTGGGCACAGAGGACACCTTCTGGAGGCTGAGGGGCATCCCCACCTTCTGCTGGGGGTTCTTAGCCTGATGGGCAGGTGCCCCGACTTCATTAAAAGAGGAAGGTCTAGTTTCTAGGAGACAGACCAGTAGGAGGTGATCGTCTACCTGGCAGTTGCCTGAACGAGCTGTTGGGGATGCGGCCCTGGAGGAGCACGGGGTGGGGGCGGGGGGGGGTCAGAGGCCAGAGAGAGGGCCTCGTGGGGCACACTGAGCAGCGGGGATTCTATCCAGGGGTGGTGAGGAGCCACCGCAGGGTCACGGGCACTGAGTGGAACCTGGCAGAGTCCAGTTCTAGAACAGTCTGGATGGGGGACACGCGGGGCTGGAGTCAGGGGTTGGTTAGGAGGCAAGAATCAGCGCGGGGGCCCTGGGCCTGGACAGTGGGCCGGCTCCTGGCTAGAGGAGACCCCCCCACACTGGCGACTCCACCTCCAGACCTCTGGGCCTCCCACGTCGCTGACCCGCCCTCCCTGCGGTTCTGATGCGGTCCGCCTGCAGTCAGCGTAGACCCCACGGCGCAGGGGCTCGTCCCGGGGTAAGTCCCGGTCACCGCTGAGCTCCTGGCCAGCGGGCTATAGATCCGGGACCTTCACCCACACCTCGGCCGCGGTAACAGGCCGCGGCGGCTCAGAGGGACAGGGAAACGCCGCTTCCGGTGAACAGTGCCCCCCTCACAGCAGACGGGAGACGCAGAGGGCGAGGTGGGGGGGGCTGCGGAGGGTCCCCGCACCTCGCCTGCCCTCCGACCTGACCCCTGGGGCTTTTTATGGAGGCTTCATCAAGTGGGCCAAGGATCATGGACTCCCTCGCCCCTCCCTGGAGGGTGGGTGGGTGAGATGCTAAGCTTCTAGACATGGCTGGACCTTCCTGGGGAGCAGCCCGCTCCTGACGCCACCAGGAGCCCCCAGAGCCCCCGGTAGAATCAGAGGCCTCCAGTCAGGCCAGGGCCAGGACTCACGTGCCTCCTCTGAGCCACAGTGTCGGTCGGAGACGGCGGGAGGGGAGGCATGGCGCTTGCTTTCGGGAGGATTTTCTTACAAAGTGGGTCTTTTGTGCATCCTTTCGGGGTTTTGAAACCCTCAGCTGGGGGAGGGGGAGACGCCTCTCATGAGTGACTGGCAGGCAGGGCCATGAGTCCCCTCGGCAGGGAACCGGAGGCCGGGGAGAGAAGGCCGAGCGCCAGCCTCGCTCCCGGATGTGCGGGGCTGCTGCCCTAGGACTAGCGGCCGGACCCCTCAGCCAGGAGCAGCCCTGGCCTGGGACAGCCGCCGCCTGTGCTCACTCACGGAGGCCCTGGCGCAGCCGGGGCACCTGGTCACAGGAAGGGCCAAGGCCTCAGGGCAGAGAAAATGGTCTGGAGGTCCCCAGACAGCTTGGAGGTCACCCCCCCACCGAGATAACTCCTCCACCTTTAGGTCTTGCACAGCCCAGGAGCAGCTAAAACCAGGCCTGGATTTCTCCGTGAGGCTGGGTGGGGCCCAGGCAGGGGCTGGAGTGTGCCCAGGGCTGAGGCGCCAGGGGCCCGGCCCGCTCCCTGGGCGGAGAGGATGTACCAGCGCCACGGCCAGGAACTCTCCCAGTTACATGGTCCTTCTAAGTATTTTGCGTCACAGATGCCTGATTAAGAACCTCTATCAACAATTAATCATCTAAATTTATCTTCTAAAAATTCCATAATCTCTCATTAGAGGGGAAAACCTAATAATTACGGAAAATAGCTTTTCTTAATGTTTCCGTAATTGTTTCTTTCTCGGAAAGCCACTCTGTGTGCAAACATCCATTTTCCAGCTGGGTGACCCGACCCGCCTCCCCTGGGGGAGCCCTCCCCAAAGTGCCCCCCCACCCCGCCCCATGACAGGGCTTCAGGGCTGGGCAGAGATGCCAACCTGGTTGTCATTTTGGTTTTTAATTTAATAGTGCTTTCTGGGACGGGGCTAGAAGGTGGCTTTAAAACCACAGTCACAAAAGTACGTGTGTTTAGCTGGGCCTCGGTCTGTTCCCAGCCCTCCTCTTCCTCAGCTCAGCGCAGGGAACCCCCGTAGGGTCTCATCCTTCCAGGGTTTCCTTAGGTAAATGCAGACACCATCCCTGCCGCCTCTGCTCCGGCCCCTGGTGCCCCGGAGGCGGCTGCGCTCCCTGCACGGGTGCGGGGCTGCTTTGGAAGGCGCGGGGGACCCGCAGGGCTGTCCCTCAGCTGCCTGGCCTGGGACAGGTGAGAGGCCAAGGCTGCCCCCCAGCTCCCATGGGCGCGATTTTGCCGGTGCGCTCGGTGAGCAGGTACATGCAGGGGGGGCCTCACTTGCATTTTCTCGTCATGGGGGGGCTGCGTCTCCCTCACCTGTGACCTGTGCTCTTGCCAGACGACGATGACGGGGTGTCGGTCTCCTCCAGTCCGGGACTCCTCAGACGCGGGGTGGGGTGGACTGCGTCACTGGTACTTTCCCCGACTGTTGTTTGACTCTGCCTTGAGTGGCTTTTCTTGCCCGCAGGGCTTTTAAACGTCCTCCACGAGGTGTCCTCCGGCTCCGGCACTTTGAGTCAAGGTTAAAGCTGGCGTGGGAGTCCCGCCTGTGCTGGAGTCGACGCCTTGGGCGTTGCGGTGTGCGCTGGGGTTTGCTGTTTTCCCAGATGGCTCCGCGGTTGCTGATGCTGTTATTAAAAAGTCTGTGATGGTCCCCAGGGAGGGGCTGCCCTGTCACCCCCTAAATGCCATCGGTGTGGGTTCCAACTCTCCACCTTCTGTCCGCCCAGCACTTGCCAGCACCCACATTTGGTTTATTGAACCCCTACGTGCATTTTAGTAGCTGCAGGACAGCGAGGCGAGGGAGTCGGAAAGAGGAAGACAGATGCTGGGCGCTTCCGCGCAGGGGGCTTAAGGAAGCGCAAAACCCAATGGGGCGCCTGAGGTTAAGAAGAAACCGGTGGCAGGTCTCCCTGGTGGCGCAGGGGTTAGTCTCAGCGCTATCAAACTATCCGCAGCCACTGCAGCATGAGTTCGATCCCCGGAAAGGGAGCTGACCCACAGGGCGCAGCAGACCTCTCCTGTCTCACCTGCTGCTCCCCTCAGCTGAGGATTTCAGTCAAATCCACCTGTTCTGCTCCCCGCTCTGTCTCTGGTGAATCCTCTCCCCTGCACCCCAGCTCTTGTCTGCATAAATAAATTTTAAAAATCTTAAAAAAAAAAAAGAGGGAGCAGGTGGCAGAAAGGGTCAAGGGGTCAAGGGGATGGTGTGGGGAAATGAGTGAGGAACGAGATCAGTGGCCTAGGTCCTCAAGCAGGTGAGAGTTACAGGCGGGCTGCGTCTGTGGCAGCTGCAAGGTCCTCCTCCCCGCAGTGGGACCTTTCCAGGAGACATGCAGAACCATGCGGGACAGGCTCCTGTTAGGGCCCTTTCCAATCTTCCTGCGTGTTTATTTTTCCACGTGCACTTTAGACTCGGGTGGTTTAGCTCGAAACCACTTGTGGGGTTCATAATGTATGTTTACACTGTGACTGACAACCGCCCCATTCCTGCACGCAGGGAAGCCACAGCAGGCCCCTGCCCCAACCCCTTCGTCCTCACCCAAGCCCCGCGCTAAATCTGCTCTTTCAACCTGCAGCGCCTCGGAGCAAGCCCACGCTGGGTGGCAGGCTGCTTGGCAGGCTGGGATTGGGAACCCAAGCCCTTTGCCCCTGGAGCAAGGGTGGGGGGGTGTGGCGGGAAGTGGCTAGACAGTGCCTAGGCGGGGAGAGGTAGGTCGGCAGGGGCAGAGATCCGGAGTGTGTGTTAAGTGGGGGACTAAGAGGCCTGGCCGGGCAGTGCTGAGGCAAAGACCTGCAGGAAGGAGGGCGCGGCCTCCCCTAGGCAGCCAAGCGGCCTGTGTCTCCCAGTCACCTCCCCCTCACTCCCACTCCAGTGACCGCCACTCTGGATGACACCCCTGTAGCCTTCCTCGAGGGGACGCTGCCCAGGCGTGGAATCGCGGGTGTCCGTCCCTCCTGGGTGGGCAGGGTGGCAGAGAAGCGAGGCTGGCCTGCTGCTGGGTCCCGCAGATCTCGCCAGCCTTTTTTTGGTCTCATTTCTTTCGACAAGTGAAGGCAGGCTGCTGGGAGCCTGCTGCCCTGCGGGGAGCTGGAGTCTTTGGAGAGCACCTGTTGACTCTGTACGCGGAGTGCCAGGACTTCGGAAGTTCTGCAAACAGAACTTCTTCCCAGAACTGACTCCTGTTCTCTGAGGACGTGCTGGCGTGTGCTCCCTCCCAACCTGGTAAACTTGTTTTCAGCAGTAACTCATTCATCTGTATAAGCAAAGCCACAAGCGCGTGCTATCTTCTCGTTCCTTTGTTCAAGTCTTTCATAAAGCGTGAAAGGCCGAGCTGCTCTCTTGCTCTCCCCAGGCTCCCCCTGCTGCAGCTTCATTTAGACTCCGAGTCTTCGTTCATGGCAGAGAACTTCACTGTCCTGGCACAGCAGGAATCTCAGCTGCTGGGCACTTCCGGTTACTTAAGCTCTGACTGATCATTTTAAGGTTCTCAGAGACCCAGAACTAGGGCTCCAGGCAGGTCACTGCCCCCAGGGCCCCTCTGTGGGCCATGCTGGTGGCTCCTCTGTGGGCCAAGCTCTGTTCCAGCTGAATGCCCAGAGGACGGCTGAAACCCCCAGAAGACGTCAGGCTTGAGCGGTGCGCCCCGGCTGGAAGGCCGGGCCCAGGGGTGTGGAGCGAGTCCCCCACCCGCCCTGAGGCCCGCTCTCTGCTGTTCCAGGTGTGGTGCTGAACAGAGACCGCAGGATCGCCTTGGTGAGTCTCCCGCCCTGGCGGTACCCCTCAGCCCCCTCCTGTTTGGACCGTTGTTACGTACACGTGGTGTGACACTGATGCTTTTTTTTTTTTTTAAGATTGATTTATTTATACAAGCGCTGGGTACAGGCAGAAACGCGGGAGGGTGAGAGAATTCACCAGAGCCAAAACAGGGAGCAGAGCAGGCACGCTGCTGAGGGGAGCAGCGGGCGGCAGGAGAGAGCTGCGTGCCATGTGGGACCCTCGCTGGGGGCTGGGGATGGAACCGGAGCTGCAGAGGCTGCAGGCGCCCCCAGGGGAGGCCCATGATACTGATGCTTTGTAAGCCTTTCACGAGTATTCAATTCAGGGGCACCGAAGATATTAGCCCCGCTGAGCGGCCCCACAACCCAGCTCTTTTCTGTCAACCCTGGAATCTGCTCTGGGGAACCCCTATAAATAGGGGGTGAGTCCTGCGATAAAGGCCTTTTTTGTCCGGATTATTTCACACGATGATGTCACGTGTCTTCCGTGGCACCACCTGGGGCGCGTCCGGCTCCCGCTCTGCGCGCGGGGCTCGGGTCGCTGCTGCCCATGGGCCGCGGTGGACATGAGTGGACACTTTTCTGTTCAAGTGCGTTTTCAGTTCCTGTGTCTAGACAGCAGGAGGGGGATTGCTGGTCACAGGGTCGTGGTTGTCCTGTTTAACCCTTGGGGAGCCCCCACACCCTCTCCACAGTGGCAGCACGGCCCCCCGGCCCACAGCAGTGGCTGGGTTCTGCCCACCATTCCTCGCCACGTTTTCACACCTGGAGACACGTGGGAGATGCAGCCCCACACTCTGCCTTGGTGACCCGCACAGAATTGAGGCAGGCCCGGGGGACCCCCTCAAGCCTCAGCCCCAAGGTTGTGAAGAGCTTCAAGGCTGTGCCGGAGGGAGGGAGGGGGCCCCTGCCTGGGGAGGTCCCCACCTGAGTTGCGTTCCAGCGCCCCCTCCTGTCAGCCGTGGGCAGTGACGCGATCACAGACTTGGTGGGGGGGGCAGTGCTTCTGTTTTCACCAGGGAATTAACTTGGGTGCTGTGAACCCCTCCCTGGGGTGGGACTGCCTCTCCACCTGCCCTCAGCCGTGGGCTCCCCTCAACTGTGGGCTTCCCTGTGAAGACTCACACGCTGGCTCCTCAGTCAATCTCGTTGCACCGTGCGGGTGACATGGGAGCCTGTTTCTAGAAAAGCACTCAGGGTGTTTTAGCCCGAGGAGCAAGAAATGACTTGTTGGGGTTCAGGGCAGAACAAGGACAATGAGTTTTTTGTGGCCATGACCTTCTGGCTCTGTGTGTGGTTTCCTGGGAATGGAATATTCATGCCCACGGCAGGGCCGGTGGGGGTACTCACTGGTTTCGTCTCTCCAGCCAGAGCACTGCTTCGACTTCGTCAGCAAGGAGCTGTTTGTGCACGCCATGAAGCAGCTGCAGGCCCGCGTCCTGCTCATCAAGTGAGTGAGCCGCGCGGAGGGAGGCCTGGGGGGCTGGGGGGTCCGTCCTCCCGGCGAGACCACACTGCCAGACCACACTGCTGTTTTTCCTGGGAAAGGCCCCCGCCCCACCCCTGAACGCGGGGCCAGGGAGGGGAGGCTTGGACAGCTGGGGTGCGCCACCCCTCTGAACAGGTGTGTCGGGGGCACCCAGGTGGCAGACATTACAGCTTGGCCCTCATGCGCTCCAGGCCCCCTCTGCCCCTCAGGCTGCCTTCCCCACCCCCAGCGCCCAGGGCTAAGAACGTCTTTTAGGGTGGCTTTAGGGTGACCCACTCCCCACAGCTCCACGCCGTACCGCACCTGGCTGGTTGTAGCACGCCCGAGGCAGGAGCTGTGGCCTCCGGGGACACCCCTGGGCCTCGGCACCCAGCACAGGGCCTAGAGAGGCAGGTCCAAGCCGCTAGCGGGCAGTGACAACCAAGGCGTCCGTGAGGGGTCAGCCCGCGAGCACGTGGTCTCCCCACCATGTTCTTGGCCGCACAAGGAGGGAGACCCTGACCCCACCCCACGACGGGCCTTGACAACGCGCAGAGTGAAAAGCCAGGCAGAGTACAGGGGCGCGGGGTTCCACGCACATCCAGGCCAAACGGGGAAACGAGGTCAGCCGGCGCGAGACTAGGAGCTGGAGCACACGCGCTGCAGCTGCACACGCAAGGGTGGGTTTGAGATGAAACTTTCTAAAATTGATGCTGGCGACGGCCGCACCACTGAACAGACCGGAAGCTGTGGGACCCCGCTTCTGTCGCGCGGCCACCACGTGGCTGTTTTTAAAACGCCTATTAATGGAATCGTGTGTTTAAACGGGAGGGACCAAGGACGAGGCCTACGCCAGGGCCTGCCTGGCCCCCAGCTCTGCGCCCAGTGGTCCCGCCAGCAGGACAGCGAGGCGCCGGGCGGGGCCTGGCCGTGTAGCCAAGTCAGGCGAACCGGTCCTGAGGCGCCGAGGAATCAGCGCCAGGCTGGACCCCGTTTCTTCCCGTTCAGATCAACCCAAGGATTTTATGCCGTGCGGAGAGAGAATGACGACAAGAGGGAAGCCGTGAGCTTCTTGCTCGACACGCTGAAGTCGACCCTGAAGGACGTAGGTGCCGGGGTCTGGGAAGGCGTCAGCCACGCAGGGCCCCTCGCCCCTCTGCCCTGCCCCAGGTCTAAGCCCCCTCCCTGCTGTGGTCACAGTCCCTGGAGATCTGGGGTCACATGTCAGGAGACAGGCTGTATTGGCAGAACCTTCCAGTTTATTGTCCTCACATACACCCTGGACCAAGTGCAACTCGGCCAGGGGAGGCCCCCAATTTTATAGGGTCCTAAACAGGAACAGATGACCTCACACCACCCATCAGGGCTGCTGGCAGCAGGGGTGGGTGAGTCTCCAGGGTGGAACTCGAGCTGCCCTTGACCTTTGCCCCCATCCCTGGGACACCTGGCATTTTAGGATCATCTACCCACACGCACCTGCCGCTGCGGGCCTCTAGCGCTGCCTTAAACGGGAAGCCGCCTGGTGGGCTGGGTGCACCCGCAGAGCCTAACGGTCCTGTCAGGCAGAGCCCAGTGCAAAAGGTGCTCCGCCTCGCGTGATGATCAGAACCAGCAGCCCCGACCCCCCCATCCAGCCGAGCTCTGCTTCAGTTTACAATGGCCCAGAACCCCGAGTTTGCACTCTTGCCTCGCAGTCAGGCCTGTCCACCCACCAAGCCGCTGCAGCTGTGGCTCAGCCACCGGCCCCATCAGCAAACCACCGCGGCAGTGGTCACGGAAGAGCGGGGCGCAGAGGGCCCGCCAGCCCTCCGGGCGGCACCTGACTGTGCACCCTCCCTCCTCTAGCGGTTCCAGTTTGTGGAAGTCCCGGGCAACCACTACGTCCACCTGAACCAGCCCCAGAACGTGGCCAGTATCATCTGCACCTTCTTACAGAGTCCGTAGCCCCGAGACCTCATGCCTTCTGCCCCGACTCCCTCCTCCCGAGGCCCCAACCAGGCGGGGGGAACGGACCTCCCTGGTACGACCCGACAGGCTGGCAGAATCCAGGGCACAGTTGGTGGAGCGAGAACGCTGAGATTCTAACTTGACTGATTCAAGGGGAGACATTGCCAGGATCGGGGGGAGTGGAGGGGGTGAGTTGTGTGTTTGTGGCTGAATCTGCAACACTGGCAGCAGCTGGACGGGGCCGGGACCCCATGCACAGCTCAGGGGCTTTTGTAATCAAAAATAAACTGTCCCTGTGTTCTTCCTGCTTCCGAGGCCGAGGCACACGCGGGGGCGGGGGGGGGGGGGGCGGGTGTCAGACGCCAGGCCGAGAGGGGACGGGAGGGGAGAGGGAAGGCGCCACTTCCCGGGCCACGTCCCCATGCTGGCTGGGCCTGGCCAGCACCAGGTACAGGACTGCTGAAGCCCCAAACCACAGGTGACTGTCCCCTTCGCCCCTGAGGCGTGGCTCAGATCTGGAGATGAGCCAGGACACGCCCCGGGAGCACGTCCCTGCTGGCGCCGCCGCCGCCATCCACTGCCCCTCCCGGGCCACACTCAGTAGGGCCGGAATTTGCGCTGGGCCCGCATCAGTTCGATCCTCTGCTTGTCCTCCTCGAACTTCTTGCGCAGCTGTGCCAGATCTGGGGGTCGGGGAGAAGCAGGGTTGGACCACGCGCTCCCTACACCTAGCTGGGGAGCTCAGTGCCCTTCCCCATTCTGCGTTGGCAAATAGTGAGGAAACAGGACGGTCAGGGGGAGGAGACAGCAGGCCTGAGCTTCCAGTGAACAGAGCGCGAAGCGACACTCCCTACCCCAGCCTGCACACCAAGGGGAAGGCAACAGGCTCTAGGGGAGCCGGGAAACCCCCGCATTGCAGCAGCCAGCCTGGGGGTGCCAGGAGAGGTACAAGGCTCCACCCAGAGTGGAGATGGCAGTGACCCAAGGGTACACGGGGTCAAGAGATCAAGGGAAGGCAGATGATGAAGGGCTGCGCGCTGGAGCGCAGGGGAGAGCACCTTCCCCGGCCAGGCGGCTGGGTAGTGGGCTCAGCACCATCACTGCCAGGCAGGCCACAGGCTACGGTGCCACGGACACCCTAATACCGTGCCACGCTCTCAAACTGAGTCTCGCCCCCCACCGCCACGGCTCTCACTGGAGGCTGACAGGTTCCCGCACCACCACTCAGACTCGGCGCCTCTGCACCTCTAAGGGACCCAGGGGCCCCCACCCACTGGGCAAATGCAGGTGCCTCTGGGAGCCACAGGACCACCACCCGGGTGGCTGCTGGGACTTGAACTGCAGAGCCCAAGGGGAAGTCTCTGCCTGAAGAGACCCCACCGCTCGGGCTGGTAGCCACCCACAGGCCTTGTGGCCAAGGGCAGGGGGCAGGACGGGGCCTGGACACGCCCTTACGTTCCATCTTGGTCTCGCGGTGCTGCCAGGCGTAGAAGTTGAGCAGCTCCTTGCGGGCGCGCTTCCGCTTCTCCCTCTCCAGCACGCGCAGGCTGGCCGCCTCCGTCCGGGGGAGTACGGGCCGCCGGCCCCGGCGGGTCACCTTCACCCAGCCCTCCTCGTCAGGGACCCCTTCCTCCTCCTTGGCCTTGGCCTCCTCCTGCAGGGAATGGCCGGGGACGGGCCGGCCCTGGGGTCAGCCTGCAGCCCAAAGCGCCTCTCCCCTGGACCTCCCTGGGCTCTCTGGCACCCAGAATCACCCCAGTGAGCCCCCAAGCCCACATCTGCGCCAGCGCAGCCTCCTCTTCCACCCTCCAACCGTGCTTTCCCTACAGTCTAGAGACCACATGTCACCAGGCAGTGGCCCCAGATCAGCAGGGAAGGAAGCCTGGACACAGGCTGGCGAGGGACAGGCTGCCGCCGGCCCACTGGGCTAGGGAGCCCAGCGCGCACAACCCCCTCTTCCTCACAGCCACAGGCCAAGTCCCACCTCGGCAACCTTCTCGTCGTAGGCCTGCATGAACGTGTCCACTTCCACCCTTAGGGCCTCGGGGTCCGGCACCGAGTCTGTGTAGTCGCCAATCCACTCTGAGCATTGGAAAGGGCGAGGAAAAGGCGTTTCCTCAGGCAGACCCTCAGGGCCCCACTCAGAACCCGCCAGGCTAGCTGGCACCTTCTCACTCGGGCTCACAGGAACAGGGAACGGTGAGAGAACAGCCGTGTGGCTCAGGGTTCGGGTGGTAAAGCAAATTCTAGCAGGGGAAGCTGGGCCCTCACCTCTCCCACCCGCTCAGGCCTCCCACACCCTGAAGCACTCACAGACCCTGCGGCTACAAAGCCTCCCCCACCAGCCCAGGGTGCCGACGCCGAACCCGACCCAGTACTGACTGTGCACGCCGCTCTTCACGGGGTGCGTCTCGGTGGAGATCAGCAACGGGCCCTTCAAAGCCAAGGCAGCCACCACCCCGCCCGGCTTCTGGAACACCACATAGGCTACCTGGAAGCCCTGGGCAGGGAAGACACATCAGAGTGCTGGGAACCCCCTGCACTCCCTGTCACCCACCGCTGCACAAGCGCACCATCCGCAGCTGGGCTTGTCACTGGACCGGGAGGACCACCAAGAGGCTGTCCCGTCATCTGGGGAGCAGGCTTATCCAACCTCTGTAGAAGGGACCTGCTCCCACCTCTTCCCCACGGAGAGGCAACAGCCCTTTCTCCAGCTCCAGGAGGCGCGCAGTGAGAGCTGAGGCGGGGCCAGGAGCATGGACAGACGCACAAGCGCCACTGTGCCGGGCGGGGCGGGGGGGGGGCGCGGGTTCATGGGACGGGGTCTCCATGGGAAGAACAGTGGCCCGGACTGAGTCGTGAGAACGAGCCACCATTAGTGGAAGACAAAGCCCTCCCGCATGTCTTCAGGATGGGCCTCGGCTGGCAAGGGACGCTGGCCACACTGCACAGCTACCACCTGCCCCCCCCCCACACCCCACAGCACCCCCTCCGCCTTCCAGCAGACCCCAGTGTGGGGAGGCTTACCGGGACAGGCTTGGGCTGAAAAAACTTCGACCTGGGCTCTTTGGGGCCCTCGGCAAGATCTGGCTTCTCCTGTAGCTCCACAGACTGGACAGGGCCGCACCGGGAGAGGAGGCGGGCCAGGCACTCCTGCAAGGGGAGCAAGGGGAGCCTCGACGGGGTCCCAGCACAGCCCCGGCGGGCTGCTGGGGTCTAAGCACCTGCATCTCTGCCTCAGGGCAAACAGGGAGGCCTGGGCCAGCCTGTCCTCTAAATGCAGCCTCCCGCTCTGAGGAAGCACCTGGGAGACCTTCATGTTAAAAACTGGGGGGAAAGCCAGGCCTCAGTGCCCTGGGAGGGAGGAGACAAGCAGACCCAGCTTGGGGCTGCCGACAGGACCCACCACGTGCCTGTTCTCCTCACCCAGCTGAACGGAATTGCGCTCGCAGAGGCCATCTTGGGGAAGCTCAGTCCCTAGCAACCTCTATAGGTGAATGATTGCAAAAGCAGGAGCAGGTTCTAACTAGGCGCCCTCCCAGGTTGTCCACCTGGCGCTGACCACGTGGGGTGGGGCACGGAATGCCCGGCTCTGCACATGCGCCTCAGCCAAGGCTAAAGTGACATCTCTCCTCGTGGCGCTCCTTCCTCTCTCTAGCACTCGAGAATCTTTCCGAGAACAGACTTCCTTTTTGAAACAAAACTTCATCTATAATCCAGCAATTCCCTTAGTTGCTCTTCTGTAAATCTACATAATATTAACTTTAACAGTTTTTTGGAGGAAAAAAATTTAATGGACATGGATGGCAGATCTAGAGGTAACTTTATTTTCTTCAACTTTCCTTATTTCTCACTATGAACATGTGTGACTTTCAGAATTGGGGAAAACAACATGTAATTCTGCAGTTCTGGATAATAATGAAAACCTTTGGGCTCCTTGGATTGTTTTTCTTAGCACAGCTTTAATAGGCCAATTTCCTGGGCCTCCCTGGTGGTGCAAGGGGTTAAGACGCAACCTATGAAGCAATCCACAGCCTCTGCAACACGAGTTCGATCACCGGCCAGGGAGCAACCCCCATGGAGCAGCAGACCTCTCCTGTCTCGCCCGCTGCTCCCCTCAGCAGTGTATTTCAGTCAATCTGCCTGTTCTGTTCCCCACTCTGTCTCTGGTGAATCCTCTCACCCCCCACACCTCTGGTCTGTACCTCAGTTCTTGTATGCATAAATAAATAAACCTTTAAAAAAATAAATAAAAGGCCAATTTCCTGCCACGAGAGAAGCAGGCCTCTGTGCAACCCCCGTAGGGCTTCTTATGAGCTGCTGCCACCTCACTAGACTTGGTGGGGCCAGTGGGAGCCCAGCGCGGCCTGAAGCCCTGACCTGAGCCCACCAGTTCCCTCCCAGGCACCAGCTTACCTCTGTGCAGTACGGGGGCACATTGAGGACAAAAAGGGTCTTCTTCTGAGGCCAGGAAGACTTGGTGCCTTCTCGAACTCTGTGCTCTCTCACGTAGAGGTAATGAGAAGCCTGCTGTTTTTCCGAGAACTTGATGGGAATGGCTGGAAGAGAAGCAGGGGTGGGAGGAAGAGTATGAAAGTCAAGTTCAGGCTGTTCCTGGCCAGTTCCATCTGTCTGTCCATCCTTCTCTGAGCTCTTCCCGGGCCAGGCCTGTGGGGAGTGCTGGGTAGGCCGGGAGAGCCAAGAAACCTCTGCCCAGGAGGAGCTCCCCGGCCGGGGTGGGAGAGGCCATGTAGAGGGCAGATGTTACAGGTGGGGAGAAATGAGAGAGCACACCCTACTGCTCATGGGGTGAACCCCCAAATCCTCACGGGGTGTGGCTGGAGGCCCTGCAGGACCCTGCCCATCTCTGTTACTGCAGTAAGCCAAGGCCTGACCAGGAGCACCACCCCTTCTCTGCCCATTCTCCGGGTTTCTGGCTTCACTCCTCAGGAGAAGCTGAGGTGCCAGCCTCATCCCCAGGGCCGCGCCACTTCCCTCAGGCCCTGAGCGACATTTGTATGATCATGTGGGTAACGGCCCCCATACGTTTTAATCCGCATAAGCCCTAAACCGCAAACCTCGGGGCTGTTCCTATGCTCCCCACCTTCTGAGCACAGAGGTGCGCTCGGGGCGCCCACGGGTCAGGAGAGGCAATGAACTCATGGAATAAGATGGCATCAAATCCCGAAGGGACAGGGAGAGGCAGAAGGGGTGCCCCAGAAGGGGTGCCCGGGGCGCGGCTGGTTCAGGAACCGAGGAAGGGGCACAGCAAGTGCCACACCCTGCCGGTGTCACCTGCGCGCCGCTGCGGCGGCACAGACAGCGCTCCTGGGCAGCAGCGGCCCAAGCCGGCTGGAAACAATCAGGTTTGTGTCGGGCGCCCACGGCGGCGCCCGGAGGGGGCCGGGGCCGGCCCGAGGGCGTGAGGCACGCTCTGCTGCCGTCTGACCTGAGGCGACCCGCGGGCCCCGCGCGGGGACAGGAGGCGCAGGCAGGAGAACCAACTCGGAGGCCCCTGCCATGCTGGGGCGGGACGAGGAGGCGCAGACGCGGGAGACGCGGCGGGCTCGCCTGGCGGGGCGGGCGGGACCCCCCGGGCTCGGCCCGGGGAGCGCGGCCGCCGCAGCGCGGGACACCGCGTGGGTCGGGGGCTCCGGGCCCTCACGACCCGCCGGGGCCCCCCGACCCCCGAGCCACCTCCCCGCGAAGCCTGGCCGTGCCCGACCCCGCGGCCCGGGGCCCCTCACCCGAGTAGCCCGGCGGGCTCGGGATCCGCGCCTCAGAGTGCCGCGCCGCGCGCTTCCCCCTGCGCGCCACCATCTTGCCGGCCGGAAGCCGCGGGGGCCGCTGGGAGTTGTAGTCCGGCCCCGGGCGGCGCGTTTCCCTGGCGACCGCGCCACGCTAGGGGCCGGCGCGTCAGCTCGGTTCCGAGCCCGCCCTCCCGCCAGGTCCCCCAGCGGCTCCTTCCTCGGCTCAGAATAAAGTCGGCGCGACGCGGGAGTCAGCGTGGGCGCGGCCCGGCGGTTCGCGGAGCGAGCTCGGCTTTGCCCTGCTCGTTCGCCCGGCCCACCTGCAGCAGTGGACACTCCGGACACGGGTGCGAGCGCTGCAGCCCCAAATCCAGGCTTCCTGAGAGAGAAGAAAACAACAAACACGCCAGGAGCAACATATAAAGCAGAGCTGTCGGTGCAAAGTGAAGAGGAAAATGGAGGATGGGAGGAAAATGTGATGAGGGAGGCGTCGCCATTTTAAATGAGGCGAAGGCCTCGCTGAAGGGAGGTTTGAACAGATATTCGAAGGTGAGGAAGCAAGGCATTCCCGAAAGACAAGAGGCTCTGGGCAGGGCAAAGAGCGCGGGCCCGGAGGCGGGACCCTCTCTGTTGTGGTAGAGAAATACCAGGGAGGGCCTGTGGCCGCGCGGGCGGGAAGCACTGGCCAGGGGGGCCCGGGGAGACCTCCACGAACACTTGTTACCCTGAGTGTGGTGGGGGCCACTGTGGGATTTTGAGCAGAGGGGAGTGGTGTGTGAACGGTCCCTTGGTAGCCCTAGTGCCCCTAGACCTGAGGCCGAGGGCGGGAGCAGGCCCGCTTCCAGCCACTGCCAGAGCCGGGAGGAAAGAGCGTGCCTTGTCGCCAGAGGTGGTGGTGGAAGTGGCGTGGTCGATCAGGGTCTAGGCAGGTTTTGGGGAATCCTGACAGGGTTTGCTAGCAGACTGTTACGCAGGGTGAGAAAGCCAGGAACACCGCTAGGCTTCGGGGTGTGACAAACAAGCAGGATGGTGGTGTCATTTATGGAGATGGGAAGACTGTAGGAGACGCGGTTTTGGCACAGACAGGGTGGGCAGATCCGAGTTCACCAGGGACTGGGGTGAGGTGCCCATTAGGCATCATGGGGCGGACGGACGTGAGTCTGTAAAGATCGGAGGAGAGGTCTGGCCTGGGGAGATACCCACGGAGCTGGCAACGGATGGGTGTTGGGAAAGGCGGCCAGAGGGGGTTCACCCAGGAAGCGAGTGCGAACGGGAGAGAATCCCAAGCCCTCTAGACGTATCCGGCAACCAAAGCCCATTCAGACCATGTACCCAACAGCCCTTGGAATCACTGGTACCCCCTTTTCCCTGTGAAGGTTGCTCGCTGGAAATGGTTGTTGGTCCCTTTGGCGAAGGATTGGTGGCACTGCCACTGCAAGCGTTTGCTGAGGCCTTAGAGATTTTTCCACAAGGGACCCAGCCTCCCTGTCAGTGTGACCTCTAGGTCTGAGGACCCACTCAGGCCTGATAATGGGGGGCTCCTAGAGATCTCCCATCAGCAGTTGCAGGAGCCTCCTCTCCAGTGCTTTCCATCCTATAAAATTCAAGCGGTACAGGGGCTGCTATGGTCCCTCGGAGTACCTTGGCCTCCCAGTCATCGGCATGGAAGCTGCAAGCTCCCTGGTTGCCACTCTGCCTTGCTCCTGTCCTGGTCAGTACATCAGCGAACCTCTACTCTGGAATCCTGTCATCCCTGCTGATCCCTGGGAGCCCAGCTCCAAGTATCCACTCTGCCTCGTAGGACAACACGCAGGCTCTTGGACTATCAGTGCCCAGCACTCGTATTCATTGCTCTTTCCAGAGTGCATCTATGCTGCACTTCCACCTCGCTGAGCCTTTTGGCCTCTGAATACGTTGGCCATAATGATTCTGTGCTCACCTTATTTACTGGGGGCCACCATTTCTTCCATACTTCAAGGACCAACCTAGCAACATATCAGAACTGGCTTAGTGTGTCCTTACCAAGGACACCACATCCCAAGTCACAGGGGAGCGTCTCCAGAGGCCCCACCAGAGACAGAGTAGGGAGCAGAACAAGCAGGTCTACTGAAATACACTGCTGAGGGGAGCAGCGGGAGACAGGAGAGGCCTGCTGCACCTTGTGGGCAGCTCCCTGGCCATGGATCGAACTCAGGCCATAGAGGTGGTAACACTGAGATTTAACTCCTAGGCCACAAGTGAGGCCCTTTTCCTTCTTTGATTTTTGGGAATAATTTAAGTGGGCATAAATTCTTTCAAGTTTGATAAAATTCAAACTTAAAAGAGTCACCTGATCCTGAGATTTTGTTTGGTAAGAGATGTCTGATTATTTCAATTTCCAGAATTGTGGTTGTTCAGGTTTTCTTCTTGCTTCACTCTTGGTAAACCATATTGTTCTTAACATTTATACTTTCTTCAATATTACCCAAATTTATATATTTGATCATAATCATCTCATAATCCTCTGCATTTCTCTGGCATCTGTAGTGATTTTTCCTTCCATTTCTTTTAGTTTTCTCTTATTAGCCTAGACTCAATTTTATCTTCTCCAAGAACCAACTTTTTTCACTGATCTTCTAGATAGCCTGGTTTCTTTTTCTTTTTTTCCTTTTTTTAAAGATTTATTTATTTATACAAGCACTGGGTACAGTCAGAAGTGCGGGAGGGTGAGAGAATCCACCAGAGCCAGAGTGGGGAGCAGAGCAGGCAGAAGGACCGAAGCACACTGCTGAGGGGAGCAGCGGGCGGCAGGAGAGGTCTGCGCGCCATGCGGGACCCTCCTCCGGTGGCCGGGGAGCAGCCAGGGATCGAACCGGTGCTGCAGAAGCCGCGGGCAGCCTCGCAACCCAGCGCTCAACCGCTGCGCCACTGGGGAGGCCCTAGATAGCCTGGTTTCTAATTCACTTCTTCCTACTCTAATTTTTTTATTTCCTTCCTTTTAACATTTGTTTTTGTTCCTTTTCAGTTGCTTTAGATAAGTTAAATTGTTCATCTGGGATTTGTCTTGCCTGTACTGCAATTAACTTAATTCACCTTTTGCTGCATCCCCTAAATTTTGATAGCTTGTAGCCTCTTTTTCCTTGGCTCCAGGTAATAATCCAGTGGGTGTTGAGCAACATGTTGTTTAAGCTCCATGTTTGAGGTTTTTCCTGCTTATTCTCGTTTTATGTTATCAGCATACTTGGCATGATTTCAATCTTTGTTAAGTTTGACTTGACTCGTGTCCCAAAATATGATATATTCTTGAGAATGTTCCACGTGCACTTGAGAAAAAAACACATTTTGTTTTGGGGTGGAATGTTCTGTAGAAGTATATTGTGCCTAACTGATCTAGTTCATTTAAGGCTATTATTTCCTTATTTATTCTGTCCTGTTGATCTGTCCAGTTGGAAGTGTCAACATCCCTTACCGTTGTCAATATTGCTTTAATTCTATTACTTGCTTTATGTATCTTCAAGCTTCATGATTTGTTACATATATAAGATTCTCTCTTCTTATTAGGCCCTTAATCATAAAAGGTCAAGATGGTAAATTTTATGGGTATTTTACCAAAATGGGGAAAAAACAGCCACAAACCTAATTTTTTTTCTTAACACCTAATTTAAGAGATAAATTTCACTCATGAGTGTCGATTCTTCAAGGCAAAGGACAGCAGTCAGGCTCCTTATTGCCTATGAAGAGATCTGAGCTATGTGGGAGCTGACCACGGTATACATGGAAGGGCACATCCGGCCTGCGAGGTCTGGGGTTATTGTGCCAGGTGCTGCCACAGATGTTAACACTAACATGCTCTCAGCTGCGGAGACGAAGCTCAGCAAGTCTCGTGAGGAACGGCCCCAAGTTCAGAGCTGAGGCGCAGTAAAAGCGGAGGTCAATGCTTGTTTCCTGGTGCCACGTCCTACAAGGTCATGAAACAGAGTCTTTAAGAAATGACAGCACGAAGGGTAGGAATAACAAACGTTTAATCAGAAATGGGTAACAGTGTCTCCTCCGTCCCTAATGCCTCTTCCTCTCCTTCTGAACAACAGAGAAACGGATGGTGACGCAGGGGCGTGGGAAGGGGAGCGGGGCCCAGGGCGGTTTCTCCTCCCTGCTTCCCAGGACGAGATCCCACGTAGAGCAGGGAGGCGAACAGATACCGCCTGGCCAGGTACCATACGGCTACCCAAAGGATAGCACCCCGACATCCAGATGGCCAGGGAACGGCCATTCATCCCTCCAATTCTAAAACCAGGACGGCTGGCACATGGCGGGAGGGGCGGGCAGAAGGGGGTGTTACCGTCCCCACTCAGAGCAGCGTGGAGGCAGTAATCCAACTGGCCCCAGGATTTGAGAAATCAGGTCCTGCTGCCTGGGTGCGCGCTCGGCCCAAGAAGGCAGAGTGTGGGAGGAATGTCTTCCGGCGGCTGAAGAGAACTAACTTTGCACCCGTTCGAGGGGGAGAGGGGAGAAAAGCAGCGTCTTGGCAGAACCAGAAAGTGGAGCAACATCAGGCACATTCTGGGACTTCCTGGTCTGGGCAATGGAGCTGGATTCAAACCATGGGCCCTCCCTGCTTGACAGACTTATCTCTGCAAACATGAGTTTCTAGGTTTTTCCTCACTGGGGTGGCCTCAAGCAGGACATGGAAGACTCTCGGTATCTCAGGTTCCCTTGTTTTCTGGGCTATGACCTTCACCACACTGGCTACTGATTCTGCAGAGTCCAGATCCCTGCTCCCCTGCTCGTGCCAGCTCCCCACAAGCCAGCAGGAGACTGACGGTGACACGAGCGATGTGACCCTGGGATTCAGGGGCTGGTCCTGGGCTCTCCAGCCTTCACCCAGCTGCCTATCCTTCTAACTCCCTACCCGCTGCCTTCTCCTCTCCCCTCCACTGCCATGGTAGGAAATACTCCCTTGGGCGTGGCAGCTGGTTGGGTCAATCACAAGAGTGGGTGGCGACTGGATCTCTCAGCCTCCCAGACTGTTGTCCCGGAAACATCCGAGGCCAGAAAGGAAGAGCTGGGAGCAAGCTAGCACCTCCCATTCAATAATCCCCGAGACACAGTGTCACAGACAGGAGGCAGACCCTTCAAATCCAACTAGCAGAGCTGCATTTATACCAAAACCAGGCTGTGCCGAGCGCCACGTGAGGTGGGACCTGGGGGTGGGCATGGGGGGAGTCCAGGCCCCTCCCGGCAGCAATACTCAGACGGCCAGAGAGCCCAGGGGGTCACTTGGCATAGCCCAGGGGAACATGAATTCCGAGCTGACTCTGGGCCACCTGAGAATGCATGGGCGCTCCAAGCCAGAGCAGGCGCACCCCTCCTGCAGGGCAGCGGCCTCCCCTGCCTGCCACGGGACCTCTCCAGGCCACACCGGGGTGGGGCAGTCGTGGTGTGAGGACAAGTGGGCTGTGACCACTCTCCACCCAAGCCGTTGCCATTGACCCGGCGGGGGAGGGGGAGGCACTGCTCTAGTGCTGCCCCGGACCCACTGGAATGGCAGGGTTTTCAATCCCTAATTTGTTTGAAAGGTTTAAAAAGGGGAGGAGACGCCTCGGCCCTAGAGAAAGCAGTAGCCTGCAAATGGTCCCTGCCCACGTTCCAGGGCACCTCCAGAGCCAGCCAGGGAACTCGGGGTACCATGTCCAGGTAAGTGATCAGTTTGGGACTGAGACTAAGGGAGAGACACTCTGAGAAACACAAGCCTACCTTGGTGGTGAGGTGGAGGGAGAAGACACACACTATGGGAAATGGCAACGCACAGAGCACAGGGCCGAACACAACACAGAAAGGCGGGTCCCCTCTGGTGAGGAAGCGCCCTACCCCTGCACCCCCCCTCGCTCAGGGTCTCCAGTCCGACGATCCATTGGTCACAGGCTAGCTTTGGGAAACAGAGCCGCCTTCCCTGCCCGTTCCCTCCTCAAAGTTTGATTTTGAACTCTGTGGGCTGTGTGGTCACAGAGGCCCCTGAGGACTTGAAAAGCGCCTTCAGGATGGTGTCAGGGTCCACTTCGGCAGGAGGGTGGGACGAGGTGGCAGAATTCACCCTGCGAGGCAGCTCACTCTCCTTTTTGACTGCAGGGCTGTCACTCAGCCGTCTGTGGAGAGCAGAGCAGAGTCAAAATCCTCGTCCGTCTTCCCTCACACAGGAAGGGGACGCACTACTGCTACGAGCAGTTGTTATGCTAAACACCAGACAGAACGGAAGGCTGTATCTGCTGCTCACTTCACCTTGTGACAAACCCATTCTCTCTTCCCTGGCTGATGAGAAACCCCACTGCAGCGCAGGGCAGCAGCCAGCACACTTCACACTGCTCAGGAAGGTCACGCCCAGCGCCGGGATACGCCTTCTAACCAGTCTTGAGAAAATCCATTTAACGGGTTTAACCCAATGTTAATAGGACATAAAACCCATTTTTCAGAACAACTTATCTCTGGAATACAGTTTAGGAAACTTGTCCAAATCTCACAATTTGATACCCAGGGTTCAAATCCTGGTATTAATGTCAAAGCCTGCTTCAGGCCTGCCCTGGCCCACCCGGCCAGTCTGCGGTCATCTCTGTCTCGTGTATAAAATCGTGTTCTGCCAGTCCAGACATTCAACGCAGCACAGGCCCCACAAGTCCTCAGTAGGCCAAAGCCCCACCTGACCCCCAGGACGCCTGCCTTTGGACTTACAGCAGGATGGGCTGGTCTGAGGTGATAACGTTCCCATTCATGTGCAGGTTGCACTTCATTGGTTGTCCTGAAAAAGAAACCAACAAGGCTCTGCAGCGACACTGACTCAGCTCCAGACGGCACAGCAGCCACCCTCACGGGGCCTAAGCACCCGACAGCGCAGCTCTGGGGATGGGTGGAGGGTTGAGGGCCCGGCTGCAGCAAAGCTGGAGACGAGGACAGCTCGCAGCACCAGCCACGAAGCCCAGGGCCAACCATGGTGCTTCCCGCAGGAGGAGACGAGGGCAGGGGGGGACGCTGGCCATGAAGCACGTCATGGGGGGGGCTGTCTACACTATACAACTACGTGGAAAGGGGACTCGAAAGCCTCTGCACAGGATTCTACTCCGCCAGTGAACAGTAACTGGTAGTGGCAGCACTGCCTCCCACAGTCCATAAGGTGCACGTAAGGTGTGATGAGAACAGTAACAGCCAAGGAAAAGATTAACGGACAAACATTCAATAAAAAACACACCACCACAAGCAGGGAGCTGCGCTACCTAGGAAGAAGGCTCCCCGCTTTCGCTGGACCTAGAAGTCAGAATCAACCGGAAACAGGTTCTGGTAAGGGACAGAGCAAGTCTCATGCTGTCAGTCCTGAGCGGCACCGAGAAAGTGACCAAATGAAAGTGGGAAGAAATGTCATTAAAGGAACTGAAACGGCCCACAACAGTCACATACTGAGTAAAGCCACATTAAACACCTATGGACGAAATCCTCCAAAAGGCAGAGACGGCCACACTGGGTCGGATTTGAAAAAGACACGCTTGCTTGGATTGGATAAAAAATAAGATCCAACGCTTTCCTCTCGCAGGGAACAAGCTTTTTAGCTTCAAAGACACAAAAAGGCTGAAAGTGAAAGGAGGGAAAAAGATGCATCCCCAGACGGCAGCCCGACGGAAGCGCGAGCGGCACACACAGCACATGAGACTCTAGAACGAGACGTCCCGGGCAGCAGCGGGGGCTGCCGCGGAAGCGAGAGGAGGGCCGGCCGCCGGGCGGAGGACGGGCTCGCGCACCTGACCCAGCGCTTCCGCTGCAGGCAGCAAGAAGGAAGAGAAGGGAACGAGGACGACGGGCACAGCTGAAGATGCCAACACCTCGCCGGGAGTCCCGGGCCCCACAGGCGGGTGGCGGCGAGAAAGAGATGCAGGGAAGGCCGTCGCCGACCAGCGGAGCCCCACAGCCCCCCGCCGACGGCAACGAAACACACGTCCTCGCCAACACACCTGCAGGAGGAAACCTGGACGTTCACGAACACGCGGAAGGTAACATCATCCTAAGGAACGAGCAGGTGAAGAAAGAAATCACCAGGGAAGTTAGGGAACGCTGAGAGAGCGAAGACACGGCAAAGCGGAACTGAGGGGACGCCGTGAGGCCAGCGCGCCGGGCGCGTAAGCAGCTGAACACAGCCAGGCCGACGAGGAATGAAAAACCACCCACGGAACGGGTGACCACGCCGCACCCCGCGTGTCAAGTGACGTCTATCAAGAGCACGCGAAGAACACTTTAAATGAAGCGCAGTTAAAAAGGACAAAGATGGCAGCCAGACACGTTTCTCCAAAGACACACAAACGGTCAAGCAGCACACGAGGGAAAGGGCGTGTCGTCGGCCCCGGGAAACGCAAGCCAGAACCACAGCCCGTGCGTGCGCACTGCTCCCCGCAACCTTCCCGTCACAGGGCCCGGCCCGGCGCAGCACTCAGCAGCCACGTGGGCGGAAGCAGGCGCACGGCTGCCCGCTGCAGGCTACCCGAGATGAGAAACATGACTCCGGCTTCTGGAGCACCCGACGTCTCTCATCAGGAGCAGGGCTTCTGCAGATGCCAACCTGGACAAGGCCCCAGGGCCTCGAGGACCCGCGTCCTGGCCACAAGCAGACCAACAACAGAAGGGGGGACTAGCCCGTGGCTCTCGCAGCTAGATCCTTGTGAGCGCCACCCAGAGGAGCGGGTTCCCTTAGACCTAAGTGCTAGGGCTGGCGAGGACCCAGGGCCGTGCGGAACAAGCGCTCAGCAAGCCGGGAGACCGCACCAGGACGTCCTCCCACCGTTCTCCGGGAAGGCTTATCCTGAAGCCTGACCAGCCAGTGAGCAAATGAGGCGCAGAAGGTGAGGGTGAGGCTCCACGACTTACCATCCAGACAACGGTTGTTGTACTTCTTATACGCAGTGATGGCGTCATCCTTCTTCACGAAGACCACCTCCGCCACCCCAGGATGCACCAGCCGGGCCCGCTTCAGGGCTCCGCACACACAGAAAAGCTCCTGTAAAGAACAAGAGCACAGTGGCTGGGGGCAGAATCTGGGCTACCTCCTCCTGCCTGCCATTCACCCCTGCAGAGGGCTCTGGGAAGACTGTACTCTTGCTCAAATACGCCAGCACCCAAGATTCCAGAAGGCTCCACTTTAGGTGGTGGACTCGGCACGTCCACAGTCTCAACGTGGGAGCAGACGAGGACTAGCTATACGGGCCATGACGACGGGCCTAGGCTGACAAGCCTTGGGAGTGCCTGTGACCTTCAGTAAGTTACCGCCAAAGTCCTCCTGCCTCATGGGTAACAGTTACGGAATTTCAGAAAGTTCTATCAGGAAAATGAAAGAGGCTACCACCCCCTGGGGCTGTTAGGAACACCAGCTCTGGCGCTCTGCACAGCACGCCCAACCATGCGGTTTGGCTGGATTGAGGGGTTCCCAGGACGTGGGATTTTTCAGTAGTAAAGCCAAGAGAATCCCCCACAAACCCGGACAGTTGATCCCCCAAAGTCAGGCAGACAGGGGTTGGGTCTCTGGGGCCTGCCGCAAGTCTATGACCCCTAGCAAGTCTTCTAACCCCTCTCAGGCCAAGGGTCTTCTTCTGAGAAGGACACGGGAGGCTACTCTATGCCGTGTGCCCAGGCGGCCGTGAGGAGCCCTGGCGTCTAGCCCCGCGGGCCCGGCACTCACAACAATGTCCTCCTCAGTGACGCGAGGGTGCAGGTTGTTCACCGTCATCTTGGTGCCTTCCAGAGGGCTGAGGACGGGCTGCCAGACAAGAGCATGACCAGGGGTCAGTGCACAGCCAGGTGCTCCCCAGCAGGCCTCCCCCCAGCAAGCGAGCAGGAAGGCCCAGAGGAGAGGCCTGTGGGGAGCCAGCCACACCTGGGCCCCTCTGGCCTTGGTGCCCATCAGGCCCCCAGCCCTGTGCTCAGCGACAGGCTACTCAACTCCCCAACATCCCCAGCCCTCTCTGCTCCTGTTCCGGGGCGCTACCCCAGCAACACACCCTCCCTTGCCCAGCAGAGTAAGCTGCTCTCTCCTCTGCTCCAGCAGCTCCTCCAGGCAGGCCTGCTGCACCCCAGACAGTGTCCACCCGCAGCGGCTCCTGTGGCCTGCAGGGTCTTTAGGGCAGGGTCTGGGTCTGCTCATTTGTTACATGGGGTTGGAAAGGCCCCGCTCCCAGAGGCACGTGAGGACCCGGCACACGGCCCTATGCCCCGGCCCAGGCTGCTCTCGACAGGGTGGTCACACCCTGCCTTTACCTTACCTCAGCAGGTGGCAGCTCTTTGGGGGGCTCCTCTTTGTTCACTAGCGTCCGGGACATGTTGGTCAAAGCTTTTGTTCGAACAGAGGAGGGGAGTGCAGGAGCAGTGTAGGCATCATTCTGAACTACTTTGGTGAGAGGGAGGGCCTTGGACGTGGAAAGCTTGGAGCTGCTCAGCCCGGCCTAAACAAAGAGGCAGACAGGAAGCTGAGACATGAGAGACCTGGAGGCCCCGCGGGACTGACAATCCCATCCTGGGGGCCGCCCAGCTCCCCACTTTCATCAGCAGTCTGGAGCCAAACAGGCTGCCAGGGACAACCCACAGGGAAGAGCAAGACAGGAGGAAAAGGGCCAGCCGCCACAGCACCGGAAGCTCTCGGCGAGAAGCTTCTGCGAAGCCCTGACAGGAGCCACAGGCTTACTCGGTATTGCAAATGTCAAAACCCTATGGTGAGGGGCAGGTCAGAGGGCCAAAAGCCTGGGGCCAAGGCCATTCCCAGATATGCTTCTATGACTGTGGGCTGGCTGGGCATCGGAATCAATCTTAAAAAAACTCAGAAGTCCCAGCTTTTGGGCCCCTGTTGCGGCCAGAGAAAGGTAACACACGGCGCTTTGGTCTTGCAGCTCCCAGACATCAGCCACAGCCGGCAGAGGTGACGTGCAGACAACAGTTCCCTCCCTCCCCCACAATCCTTAGCAGGCGATGGGTCGCCCAGAAAAACGAACCAGTAAACTCCCTGGATTAATGTGTCTGGGGAAAAGACACACAAGGCCAAAAAAGGCAGGTGGTCTTGGACAGCGCCTCCGGACTCAGGGGGAAGAGGGTGCAGTGGCCTGATGGCAGAGCACGGGCGGGGCCGACTCATCAGCTGCTCAGAATCCAGAGGAAAGGCCCTCCCCACCCGAGACCACCTGCCTCCAGCCACTGAGTCCTAGAGCCAGTGCAGAGGCTGAACCGGGGGCCAGACTGCCCAGGCTTGGATCCCAGACCCACTCCTTACAACCCTTCTGCGCCGACTCCCCTTGGGTAACGGTCCGTCGCACGGGGGGTTGGGGGGGTGAGGGGGGTGTAAACATCCATCCAGACACAGTGCGTTCTCAATCGGGGCTGGCCAGTAACCGGTCAGCCTAATTAACTACTGGAAAGGTCCGGCCCCTTTGAAACAAAATGGCCTCCTTCAGCTGCGCATGTCACTGTAAGAGCTTCAATGGCAACCAGAAAATTCATCCAAAACTGAGTCTTTGGGCCTCTGACAGCAAAACAAAGGCGCATGGCCAGGAGCCCCGGGCCCCACCAGTCACGGGGCTGAACAGCACAGGCGCCCCGAGGTTCCCAGGGGCTTTTCTTTCCTCCCCTGCACATCTCATCAGTCCGGAGCCTCCAAGCTTTCCCGGCCTGCAGGCTGCACCTGGTGGCGCCCATGGGCAAGCTTCTGTTTACCCCGCTACCGCCCCAACCTAGGAAGTCTAGACTCGAGAGCGGGGCCAGAGCTGTACATGGAGAGAAGGTAACATTTCTCTCCTGCCACAGGGGAAAAAAAGATTTCCCTGATCACTCACATTTTCCCGAAGTGTCTTAACACAGCAGCTCTGCACTTACTAGCTGTGGGGACTCTGAGCAAGGCCTGGACACCTGGGCTCAGCACTTACACACCCAGGGTCAGACTGGCTTCCGTTCTGAAACCCTTGGGACTCAAATGAAGAAAGACTTGTGGAGTAGGAGGGCCTGCTCTGCACCGCCTCACCCGGCCGCCCGGGCACGCACGCAGTGAGGGCAGGGACACACGCGTGCCGTACCACGTGGTGGAGAAAGCCGCCCGAGGTCGCAAACTTCATCTGTTTACTAGGAAGGGGAGCGACGATGTCCTCCTCCTCATCCAGGTCGTATAAGTTCTGGAAAGAAAGACAAACAAGTAAGAGCGGGGCCCACAGACGTCTGGAGCGAGGACAGCAGGGAGCACTGCCGCAGCGGGCGAGGGCGCGGGAGGAGGGCGGTGCCGCCGGGTGCCTAGGGAGACCGGAGTCAAGGCGCAGCAGCCGCCAGCTCGTCAGAGGGGCTCTCTACGTGGGCAGCGCCCGTGGGAGGCGCAACTGTGGACTTCTGCCCGCTGGGTTGGCAGGCCCGTTCCAGCTAGTCTGGCCTACAGAAACAAACCCAGAGCTAGAAAGAGCTTTATCCACCAGTATGTTTCCAGGCGAAAATTACAGGCAAATAATTTAAATAAACCAGAACATCAACCGAACAAGGTTATGTAGCTACTAAAAAACGTTTACAGGAAACGCGAATCACAGAAGGTACCTGAGCTATAAAATGGGTGATGACATAAAACTGGGCAAGAATGTGATCACAAATGCAACTGCACATTAAATAAATAATAAGAACATTTTAAAAAAAGCAAACCAACAGGAAGGAGCCCGGGCAGACGCCCAACAGGGGCTGGCTCTGCAGAGCAGGAGCACAAGGAACTCTGATTTCTTCTTAATTTTTCTCCATTTTGCAAATTTTCTGTATTTAGCATATACTACCTTTATAACAATTAATGAAGAATTGACTTTCCATTTACCCTCTGTCCCTACCTAGGTCTCCCCGCCCTCAGTTAAGAAGTTTCTTCTTAAATCTCATAAATTGCAAAGTCAAATGTATCCCGACTCCACTTCTTCAAATTGAGGGTGTTGGGCAGGCCCCAGGAACACATGCCCGTGTACACACACACACACACACACACACACACACACACACCCCTACCTGTTTGGCCTGGTGGTTATTGACAACATTGATCCTCATCCCAGCAGGGTGGGCGTGAAGTGGGGCCATGGCCTTCTGCTGTGGAACCTGAAACCCCAGGGTCACGGTCACCCCCTGGCCACATGGGTTCTCCGTGAGTGGGAGGAGCCCTGAACCTGAACTACGGCGGACACTCGCCTTTAGTTTTCGGTAAAGGCGCCGCGGAGTGTCTCCCAGCCGGAGCAGGAGCGACGGGAGATTCACCACCTGAGACCCCGCGACGCGAGAGCAGGGCGCGGCTGCCGCGGCTCACAGCTGCCGCTGGGCCGGGGGTGGCCAGGGCGCTGAGCTGGCAGCCGGTCGACCAAGGCTCCTACCCCGGTCTTCCCAGAGACAGGCTGGTCATTTCGGCACCATAACGCATGCGCCTGCGCTGGAGGTTCTGCTATCCCCCCCGGGGGACCACCCCTGCCCGCAGGACCCCCCTCTGCGAGCGCCTGCTCTCCCCAAGGCCCGTCCTGTCCCGTCTTCCCACCACCAGCGTGGCACTCGGGGGAGGCACGTAATTTCTCAGACCCTCCTCTCTCTGCCACCACGCTAGGGAACCCCGGGCCCTCCTGCACACGCACCCTCGTGGCCCCCGGGCCTGGCTCCCGCCCCCTGGCTGAGCTGCAGCTGTGCCCGGCTTTGCTCTCGCGGCAACCACACATACCTGGATGGTTTTGGTGAGCTTCAGAGCAGGGGTCACTGTCCCGACGGGGGGACCCATGAAGGAGGCAGGGGAGCTCCGCCTCAGGCTGATCTTCTCCCGGGCATCCGCCATCGGGCGGGGCTTCTGGGGCGCCGCGCTCTGCTGTTTGCGGGAGTTCAGCATCTCTCTGGCGTCCTGCACCTTCCCTTTGATCCGGAAGCGGGCATCTTTCTGCAAAAGCTTTTCCCGGGCATCCTTGACGCCCAGCTTGAGCCGGGCATCCGAGAGGCCAATCTTCTGCCGGGCGTCGAATCTCTGCTGGAAGGTGGCTGTGCGCGCGGGCTGGCTGAGGAGGCTCTGCGGGATGCCGGCCCGAGAGCGGACACCGCCGACGCCGGGCCTAGCGTTCAGCCTGCCAAGAAAGGTGGCACGTTGAGGGGACCTGCGTGAGCAGCGGCCCGGGTACGGGGCTCCCGAGGAGCTCCTGGGAAGCCAGAAGGCCGCTCCCCGTCTGAAGAAATGACTGAGTCCGCCGAGCAGCTCTGCGCCGGGCAAAGGCGGGTGGGCCTGGCCGCCCCTCTGGGGAGACCGCCGTGCTCCCGGGCCTGGGCGCTCGGAGGTGCCGTGATGGAACCCCTGAACATGGCAGTCAACTGCCACCCCCGAAGTGCCACAACCCCACACACCTTCCAAAGCTCCTCCGCAGCCAAGTTTTCAATCAGGCCTCTCTGTACCCGGCGAGGTGGGCACGATCACGCCCACTTTACAGAGCACTGGACCGGCTTGGGGTCAACCACTGACAAAGGCCGCCGAGCTGAGCCCCGCAGCCGCAAGCATCCCGTGCAGGCAGACCCCCCCTCCTGGCCGGGACCCAGAAAGCCAGCGCGGGTCTGCCGCGGAGCTGGAGGGCCTACAGGCTGCAGACAGACGAGCTGGCTAGGGAGAGCGCTCAGCCACCTCTGAAGTGTCCCTACTCGCCACCGCCCGGCAGCAAACATGCCGCTGGGCGGCGCCAGCCCATCCTCCATCCCTCTGGCCGCCAGCCGGCGTCCTCCTACGCGATCCCCACACTGACCACCTGAGCAAGCGAGGCCAGGGGTCAAGGATCAGCGCCTCTGACTGGCCTCACTCAGAGGCCGACCCGAGTCCCAGCTTTCCTGTGCTTCTGCCCCGCCCCGGCTACAGATGGGCGGTGCCCACACCCCCTCTGAGGTTTGCTATCCGCAAGGAACAGCGCACAGGACTCTGGAAAACAGTTTCTCGGAGGCGACAACTCCCGAACAACCGAGGCGGAGGGCAAGGGGGGCGGTGTGTCCAGGCTCTGGGGCAACGCGTCTACCAAAGCCCTTCCTGGGCTCCGCCAGAGGGGGAAGTGTGGCAGCTCCGTATGCCAGCGGGCCCGGCACAAGGGCCGGCGGCTGCGGCGCCTCCAGCAGCACCGAGGGCTCCCGGGACACGAGCTGCACCCACCTCCTCACCCGTCAGCCCCGCACAGGAACGGCAAAGGTTCCCGGGTCCCACCTGTCACAAGATTCCCATCGGGGTCACGAGGTGCTATCATGTCCCCCTTTTAGGCTCACATCCTCTGAGGTCAGCTGACTTCCCCTCCACCTCCAGAGAGGCCAATCCCAGAGCCAGCGCGGGAAACCAACTGGCACGGCTGCCGCCTCTGGCCGTGACCAGCCGCTGCCCCAGGTACTAAGTGGTTTCCAGGATGCCCCCTACAGGGTAGGGGGACGGATCCCACCTCGACCCGAGGCCCACCAGCTGGCACTGGTGCCAGCCTGGAAGCAGCGGCCCCTCACACACCCTTCCTGGGAGCAAGGACATGGCTACCTTGCTCTTCTGACTCAAATCGCTCTACGAATTTGGGGGAACTCACTTCTTCCCGCAGCCACACACCGGTGGCAGAGCTGAGACGGACCGGACCCCAGGTCTGCCTGAACCGGAGCCCCCCATCCTTCCCTCCTCCCGACCCGGGGAGGTGACGGCGGGAGAAGCGGCGGCTGTCCCGGGACAGAGAAGCGGGCTCCTCCCGCGCAGACTCTCGCAGAGGCGGCCCTCCGCCCGGCCTCAGCGACTCCCCAGCGACTGCCCGCCGGGGGTCCTGGCTGCCCATCACTCCTGCGGCTGGGACGGCGGCCACGCAGCCAGGGCACGGGGCTGCTAAGAGCGGGAGCCCTGAGAGGTGAGCTCCTGGTCCCCCGGCAGGGGCTTCAGGAAAGACCTCCTGAAGAGGCAGCTGGACCCGCATGGGGGGGGGGTGACGACCTCACAGTGGAGGCAGCGGCGCAGGGGTCGATGACCCCACGTCGAGGAAGGCGCGGCTGCTGACCCCAGGGCGCCGGACCCTGCCCAGCGACACGACGTCTGAGTCTGTGCAGACCTCCCAGCTCCTCCGGCTTCTGCAAACCCGACCTCCTCCCACCCCCGGGCTTTCCAAAGGCCCCGATGTCCGTGACTGCAGAGGGAAATCCTCCCGTGCGGTGCTGTGACCTCACGATACCATCAAATTGGGTAAACTGAGACCCCACGGCACAGTCGTGCTTTCAAAAAGCCAAATGACCCAACTGAGAAAGGGAGGGAGAGGGCAGTCAATTAAGCGACTGTTTTGAAGGAGGCTCCTGACGACAGAGGTCCTGTCTCTGGACGGGGAAAGGGGAGGCCAACGCGGCCTGCAGGGTCGGCCTCCGCAGCAGAGGCGGGCGGGGAGGTCAGGCCCTTGGTGCTCACATTCCTCAACCACACCCCTTCCCGAGGCGTCCACCGAGAAGCCCGGGCCGTGCCACCCCGGCAGAGCTGGTGAGAGGTCTCGTGCCCGAGGGGCCCGCGCTGGCGTCTCAGCTCCGACCGCAGGCGCGGCGCTGACTGGCCTCCCGGCGCCCTGGCCTGAGAACTGGCTACTCCCGCCCGCTGCAGACAGGACGGCGATGCCCAAACCCGGGTGGCCGCCACTACGCGGGGCACCGGTTACAGCAAAGGCCAGGCCTCCGGAGGTGGGGGAGGGGGTCCCCAGCACGTGCAGAGACAGCACACGCTCCAGGCAGCGGAGGGGACTCGGCCCCGCCACTCACTTCCGGCTGGCAAGAGAGCCCCCGCCCCCCAAGACCGAGCAGGTATGTTGATCTATTTGACCAGCACGGAGGCACGAGTGGGGGAGGGAGCGGCTCAGCTGCGGACCCAGGAGAGTGAGGGAGCGTCTGCCCTCAGCTGGTTCTCGCAACTCCTTTCATGAACAGCTTTAGGGGGCTCCAGGGCTCCGCTGGCTGCGGAGAAGACGCCATTCATCCCCGCAGGCAGCGGCCCCGCTCCTCAGGCGGCATTAGTCATCGGGAAGGTTTCAAACAAACACTCCCGCTAGGGGCAGGTCTGCAAAACACAGAGTCAATTATGTCTCCCCGCTGCCCAGGCCCCCCAACAAAGCCCACGTGATGTGGCCCCAGCCGCTGCCTGCAGCCTCCCCTCTGCTGCACGCGGGGCCCCTGACACACACCGTGTCCCTTGGCCTCAGCGAAGGCCAGGAAGGGAGGGGGTGGGCCAATCGCTCGGCGGCCCGCCGGCCACAGCTGAGAGTGAAATGCACCCCAGAGCCGCAGGTCTCCCCTCCAAGCCCGAGTGGAGCCTGGCGTGTGCAAGAGGACCAGGGGCGCCTGTCTGGGGGTGCGGAAGCCGCCCTCGGGCTCCGCGGCAGGCCAGAGGCAGCTGGCAGGGCAGGTGTTTAGTCCGGAGGATTCCGGCCCGTGAAGGGGCGCGGGTTTGTTACAGTGATTTTCGCCCATGAGGGTACTGCACGTTGAGGTGATCTTTACAGAGAGAAGCCCAGTTTAGTTCAACGACTACCGCGCACCAACGCCCGACAGGCCGCGCCAGACACACAAGTAAAGGGAGACACCATGGCCTGGCCCTCCCAGGGGTCTCCCACTGAAGGTTCACCGCGGCAATGAGCGCCTGTGCCCAGCTAGGCCACGACTCCCCCGCCCCCCTCCCCCGTGCTCCACGTCTACCTTTCCTGGGCTGTTTCCACAAGGGAACATTCACTCGCGCCCTCCCCCAGGCTCCCAGGCCCCCAAGAGCCGCCCAGCCCTCTTGCAGGCTGCCCGCCGCCTTCCCCTCAGTGCGGCCCAGGCTGGCGTGGACAACCAGCCCGCCTCTGGGGCTCAACTCTTCAACCCAAAGAGATCGGGGCACCTGGACTAGGAAACAGCGACCCCCTCACGCCTGGAAGTGCCCAGCGGCGCACGAGTGCCCAGGGCTGCGCCGCAGGAGTCAGGGCGGGTCTGAGCACCCAGGTCCCTGGAGGTGCGCCGGGTGGGGGGAAGACACGGCTCAAAGCCGCCCTCCCTCCAATTTCGCATTCATCAAGGACACTTCTGAGGGCGGACTGGGGCACAGGGACGAACAGCCTTTCCTTGACCCCGGGCGCGCTGCAGGCCAGCGGAAGGGCTGCGGCCGCCGGGAAAGAGGCCGTTTCCACCACCACAGGCGCAGCCTTGCCATTTCCACTAAGAGGATGGAAGTTTCCCGAGAGCCACAGGTGCAAGCGCTTCCTGGGGCATCCGGGCGACGTCCACGCAAGGGGAAAGTAAGCGGATTCTAGACACAGGCGACCTCGCTGCGGGAAACGCCATTTCTTCATGGAAATTCGGTCAGAGCTCCCCGCTCCCCACAGGGACCCCCGCCTAGTTTTTCCTCCCACTGGGCTGCAGGTGAAACAAGTCGAGGAGATTTAACCTGAGCCAAGTCTACAGCCCAGCCTCTTCCCACCCTCTCTGCCGGAGAGCCTCCCCGGCACCCCCTACTGCCCCGCGCGTTAACTCACCCCGACAACCTGGCGAAGTCAACGCTGACCCCGCGCCACGGCCACCGGCCACCGAGAGGAGCCAGGCTGCGGCCCGGACGCGGGGAGCGCGGGAGGAGCAGGCGCCCGGGATCCGCACCTGCCCCACTCTCAGCCCAGAGGGTCGCCCGCCTGGCTGGGGAGGGGCCGGCGCCGCGAGGAGTGGCCACGGCACGGCCGGCGCCGCCTTGAAAGCACACATCCCGCAGCACCCCGCCCTCGCCGCGACCCGCACGGCCGCGGGAACATCCGTGGAAACTACACAGACCCGACTCGTCCCCCCTCGCATTCAGTCCTCGCACGGCCGGCCTGGACCTGCCACCGGCTGCAGCGCCCGGCTCAGAGGCCGGCCGGCCGGGAGGCGCAAACCCGAGCGGGACGGCGGGGGACCAAGCCTGGTCCGGCCTCGGCCCCAGGCGTCCCCGGCCCTGCCGGCCCCCCCAGGCCGCCGCGCACACCCACCGCGAAAGCAGCACCTCCCGGGCGGGCACTGGGGGGCGGGGGGGCAGAAAGAGGGGCTCCGGGGAGACGGCCCAGCACGGCTGGTGCCCGAGGGGTCTGGAAGAGGCCAGCCGGCCAGGGGGTCTCCTTTCCAGCTCCTGGGGGGCCGGCAGGCTGGGGGTGCAGGACGCCAAGGCCTTGCCAGAGCCAGAGCGCGGGGGCCTCCCGCCGGGAGCGGCCGGCTCTTCCCCAGCGCGGAGGCCGCCGCCGGCCCCTCCCCACGCGGCGCGCCCGTCCGAAGGGCCGGGAACCTCGACGGGGGGCGCCGTCCCCACCCCGGGAGTCTCCTCCGGCGCCGGGGAGCGGCGTCCAGCGCCCGGCCTGGGCCGGCCCCGCGCGCCCGCCGGGAAGGGGGAGGCGGCGGGCCGGACGGCAGCGGGCGCGGGGCCACCGCAGACGCCGCACAAAGGGAGGCGCGCGGAGCGGGCGGCAGGCGGCCCGGGCGCGGGGTCTGGCTCCGGGCGTCGGGGCAAGTCCCGCCCCCGCTCAACTTCGGGGTCCGACCCGCGGATGGCGGCGACCAGGCCGCGCGGGGACGCGGGCGGGGCGGGCCCCGGGGGCGGGGGACCCCCGGGCCGGAGCCGGCCGCCGCCCTGCCCCTCCCCCCGGCGGCCCCGGCCCCGCCGCCCTTCCCGGCCCCGGGCCCGGCCCGCCCGGCGACGGCGCCCCAGCCCGGGCGGGCGGCCGGCCAGGCCCGCGGCGGCGGCGGGGCCAATGAGGAGCGCGGCTGGCGGGGGGCGGGGGGCGGGCGCACGGGGCCCTCCGCGTCGCGCCGGCCGCTCCCCCCCCCCGAGCGCCCCTGGGCCGCGGGCGCTGAACCCCGAGGGGAGAAGAGGCCACTCACCGCCCCTTCGCCGCGGCCCCGCGCTTCCGGATGAGCTCGTCCAGGGAGATGTCCGCCATCTTGCGCCGCCGAGCGACCGCCAGCCGCTCACACGCCCTCGGCCCTCGAGTCCGCCCCTTCGGCCGCTGCCGAGCGACGAGCTACTTCCGGCGTTAGGCCGACGAGCTCTCGCGACAACTCGAACCCGGCGAGGACCGGAAAGGGCCGGGGCGCTCCCCGTGAGCCTTCGCGAGGCCGACTGCTTATCTGCATACGGCGGGTCGCAGCCCTGTCTTTCCCCTTCTCTCCCCAGCGGACAAATGAAATAAAAAGCGACATGAAAATTGAAAGGAGGATTGAGAGCGACGTCCAAGGAACGGGGTTGTGCGTTTAACAGTCCGCCTCGCTACTCACCGTAGGGCTAATGAGATTGGGATTTATTACCCAGGTAGCGACAGCGGGCGTCCCTCATGCCTTAAACTTATGAGTAAGGAAAATAACGATTCGGGGTGACGCCCGGATCCTCACTGCTAATGTGAGACGAATTTTTGCGCGGGTAAAGGTCGCCCCTGTGGTGACCCGCCTACTTTGCGGGATGCCTGGGAGCCGCGATCTGCCCGACCTCCTTCTTCTCAAAGAGCAGACGTGCAGGGGGCGCCCCGGCCTCGCCTGCGCCGCGTCAACGGCAGCGGCGCTTTGTGCAGCCGCAATCGCGGAGGCGTCCGGCGGCCGAGCCGGCCTTGGGGGCGGGGTCCCTCCTGGGGCCCGCGCGGGAGGTCTCCGCGCCTGACGGCCCGCCCCGCCTCCGGTGGGGCCCGGCGGCGGCAGCCCCGCGGGGGGGGGGGTGGCGGGCGGCCCTGCCTCCCCCCAGGGGCGCGCCCGGGGCGGGGCGGCCTCGAGGCAGACCCGGGAGGCCGGGCCTTGGCCGGCGGCTCTCGGCGGGCCCCGGGCCCCGACCTCGTCCGGCGCGGGGGGCGAGAGCAGGCGGGTCCCCCGCGAGACGGGCCCGGGCTGCAGCCGCACGGGCGCCCCGCGTTGCTGGACACCGACCCGGCGCTGTGAGCCGGAGACGCCCCGCGGCCGGGGCACGTGGGGGGCTGGGCCCCGCACCCGCTTGAACCCCCTCCCCGCGGTGGCTCCCGCGCGGGCTCCGCTGCGAGCCCCGCAAGTCCGCAGGAGCGCGGGGCCCGGGCGGAGGGCCGCACCCCACGGCGAAGCTCCCGGCCTCCCGCGGGCCCCAGCTCCAGCCTCGGGTGCAGACCCCAGGCGGAAAACGGGGCTCAGGCACCTCCCGCCCTCGCGGGGCCAGCGGGGACCTCGGGGGCGCGCAGGAGGGGCGCGGCGCCCGCACCCCAGGCCCCGCTCGGGAACCCGCAGGCCCTTGGCGGGAGGGGGGCCGCACAGCCGGGGCTCCCGGCGGCTCGCGGTCCTCCTGATGGCCCGGGGGCCGGCATCCCCCCCCCCCACACACACCCCCGGCCCCCGCCCCCACCAAGGAGCCGCAGTCGGGGTGAAATCAGCAGCTTTACTCCGGCGCCGGTTCTCCGTACAGGCCGAGGAGGCCGCGGCGCGCGCGGGAGGCGAACTCTCGTCTACAGGCAACGTGGCGGCCCCTGAACCTCAGCGCGAGGCCCTGCGCGGAGCCTCCCTGGGGCTCGGGGGTTGGGGCGAGGAATAAATAAACCTTGGCGTGGCTCTGCCGGCGGGGGCGGGACGACCGCCCAGCACCAGCCCAGCGGACACCGGCCCGCGGCTGCAATGCTTGGGGGTGCGGGGTGCAGGGGCCTGTGCGCCAGACTGGGGGGCCCTCCCCCGCCCCTCCCCCCTGCAGTGGGGGTCAGCCAAGCTGCCTGAGGCTGTCCCGCTCCGGCCTCTCGCCCCCCGCAGCCCGTGGAGGACTTCCCGGGTCCCCCGCAGTGGAAGGCGCTGCCCGCAGGAGGCGCAGCCGTGGGGCCACCACCCGGCGCAGCTCTGGGCTGCTGGTGCGGGCTGGCTCCAGACGTGGCCCGCTCTGGGGGGGCGGGGAGCACATGCTGGCGGCCTGGGCCCGGTGGGGGGCCGGGGAGGGCCGGGCGGGGTCAAGGCCACCGGACAAGCGCGGTGAGGCCGCAGGAGCCTGTGGACCCGGCTCCCAGGGCAGCCCGGCGGGGGCCGGCCCAGTGGGGTGACCACCCGGGGCCGGGCGGGCCTGGCTGAGCTCAGGGCCACGTGCGAGATGGGGTGAAGATGGTGAAGGAGCGTGGCAGGCGCAGGGGTGCGGACGGGCGGCCCTCAGAAGGCGAAGCAGCGCTCCTTGGGGTGGCCCGCGCGGTCCAGGTTGGGCAGGCAGGCGTACTGGATCATGGGCGGCGGGCCGCACATCAGCACCAGCGGCTGCTCGTCGGGAGAGGGGAGGTGGTCCCGGATCATCTCCTCGTTCACGAAGCCCTGGCTGTAGTCCCAGGCTGCGGGGGGGGGGACGGACACCCGTGAGCAACCAACTGCCCGCTGCCGCCCCCCACCACATCCTCCACCCCCGCAGAACCCGCTCCCGGGCCCCCAGCCCAGCCTGGCCCAGCCAACACCCCCCAGCTCGCAAAGCCTCTCCCTTCCATGGGCACCCGCGTGACCCTCAGAACCACCGAGGGCGGACAGGGCGGGGGGTCCCGACCCCATCTGACAGCTGTAGGAACCTCTGAGGCGCTGTCAAGGCCGCGTCGTGAAGCGAGGACACAGGCAGGATGTGGGACCCCAGGTCCAAGAGGCGCCCCAGCAGGAGGCCCGCTCCAGGCCGCTCAGCGGCACCTTCTCCGCGGCCACCCCCACGGCCCGTTGTCGGAGTCTCTCCCCACCAGGGCCCTGGCGCCCGAGGAGCCACGTCTGGTCCCCAGAGATGTGTCCCCGGTGCCAGGCGGCCCAGACTCAACACAGGCCACCGGGGAGCCTGAAAACAGCAAGGCCGGGACACAAGCCCCAGACTCGGGGCCGCGGCTCTTCTCCGTCCCGCCCGCCGCGCCGTCTCAGCAGAGCGAGCTGCTTCTCCTCCCCCAGCGGCTGCCGGTGCCCCCCGGGCCCGCAGGGGGCTCACGGGGGCCGCTCCGGGGCACTGGCCTGGGGCGGCCGGAGGCGGGGCTCCGGGCAGTGACGTGGCAGGCAGCTGGCTCTGAGCTGCCCAGGGCTCCGCCCATCTGGCTCGGGCAGGGGGTGGTTTCCTGTCCTCCGAGTCCCCCCAGGGGACGGAGCCAGACTGCCATCTCGGCTCTCCCCATCCCGGAGCCTCACGAAGCTCCCGACGCCGCAGACACAGCTGCGGATGCTCAGGAGGTGACCAAGGAGACGCGCCTCGAAGCTCAGCGCCCAGCATCGCCTGGAGCCCGCTCTCCAGGGCCCTGGGCATCCAGGGGCGCCAGGACGGAGGCGCCGCTGTGCAGGGGGAGCTTGGCCCTGCCCGGCCCCCACGGCCACGTTCGTGCAGAGCCGCTTCCCTGGTTCCATGGACAGCCCTGCCCTTGTTTCCGTTCCCTCCCACTGGCTATTTGCGCCATTCTGACTCACGCGGAGCCTGCAGCCCGTGAACCCCCTCTGGGAAGAGGCAGGGCAGAGACACGCTTGCTGTGCGTGGGCAGCAGACGGCATGTACTTTGTGCCAAACAGCAGGGACTACCCGGTGCGCGGGGCGTGCAGGGAGTGAGGCTTTTTAGGAGGAAGCACTTTTCTTGATACTGGAGGTGGCTTTGGGGGAGCAACACCAGGACGTGCGAATGGCTGACCCTCCTCCCACTGGCCCCTGGCTCCACGGTGGCCGAGTGACCGTTTCCTTTCTCGACATCCGCACGTTCAGCTTGTACCTCATCTCGGAACGACACCTCAGCTACCCTGGGCGGGTCTGGTGGTGCCAGGGGGCTGACTGCCCAGCCCAAGGCAGCCCTCCGCGGCAGCAGCTGGTCACTGTAAAAGCCGGCCCCGGAGGGCGGGTCTGGGAGCTGCCAGCGGCCACCTGCAGAGGCCGGCGGGGGCGGGCAGGCCAGGCGGGCCCGCAGTGGGCGGGCCCACGCACCAGCATGAGCTGCCACCAGGGGGCGCCAGCCCAGCCCGCGTCCCCCCTTTCGAGGGAGACACCGGACAATTTAAATGCCCTTTTCACTGAAGCAGCAGCCGCCTCCCAGGGCCAGGGCACCTGCCTCACCTCCGCTCCAGCACCCACGCTTGAGCCCCAACCCTCACCCCCACACTCCTGCCCCACGCTGGGCCTCACTAGCCATCTGCTACTGTGAATAAACCTGTCCTGTTCGCTCCCCACCAGCACTCGGCTCACGGGGCCAGGCTGACCTCACAAGCACACGGGACGCAGGTCTGACCAGGTGGGGACCTGCCCGGCCCACATGGGCTGGCTCAGGACAGCCCGTCCCGCCAGAGGCCTCGGAACAAAGACGTCAGGTCCATGGAGCTACCCAGGCCGGGCCCTCAGCCCAGGAGACCGGGGCCTGGGGCCCGGCCCAGCCAACTCATGGCCCGGCCCCAATGACCCAGGGCCCGAGAGCAGCAACCTTAGCGCCTATGAGCTTGTTTCTGGGGGACACGGGGTGGCCGTGGACAGAGCCGCCTGGTCAGTGGGTGTGTGTTCCCCACATATGGGGGGGCCCCAGGGAGTGGTGGGTCCCTGTGAGGGGTGGAAGCAGAGTGAGGTCAGGGCGGCAGGACATGAACACAGAATGCAGGCTGGCGCCCACGTGGGCACTTCAACAATGTCCACTTTCCAAGACTTAGACATTCCCCGTGAGAATGCAGGTCCCTGGGTCTCCGCGGTGGCCAAGTGTAAGCTAAGTCTCAGCGCTATCACTGCGCCAGCCCATGCAATGGCCTGAGTTTGACCCCCAGCCAGGGAGCTAACCCAAATAGGGCGCAGCAGACCTCTCCCGTCCCGCCCACGGCTCCCCTCGCAGTGTGTTTCAGCGGATCTGCCTGTTGCGCTCCCGACTCTCTCTCACTCCCTGCACCTCTGGCCTACACCCCAGTTCTACGCAAAACTAAAATCTTTAAAAAAAAAAGAAAAAAAATGCAGATCCACGGCTTCTCCTGAAAATGGGAAGGTCTGGCCACATGGGCTGCACTACTGTACAAACAACTGCCTGCAGCCAAGACAGGCCCTCTGGACGGGGAAGATGTTCCCCAAGTGCCACAGGCCCCACCACTCCCTACTGTTTCCCAAGCCTGAAATTAAACAGCATCAGTATCATTTACCAAAAGGCCTAAGCTGCTGTTTTTCTCACAGCAAAGAAGAAATTAAGCTGTTTCTTCTACCCGAATCTCAATCTAAAGCAGAAGAGTGAGAGTTTAGCTCCCAGAGAGCAAGCTTGTTTCAAGTTTTGGGGGCTGCCTTGATTCACTGCCTCCTACATGGTCTTGGCGCCTCCAGAACCCACTGTGTGACCCTGGCAAACGCCGAGACAGGCAGAACAGGGGTAACTGTATGTGGGTCCCTCTCCCCACAGGGCTGCTGATGGGAGAGAAAATGGGTGCAAAGTGCCTTAGGGTACAACCTGCAAAGTAGGAGCATCGGCCCACCTCGGTTCTTCCCTGAGTGAGCACCAGCCAAGGGCAGAACGCCAGCCTTCTTTGTCCAGAGGGGCGGTGAAGGGGCTGGAGGGAGGACTCGGGCTCGGGGGACAGAGGACGTGAGGTCAAGCTCTGGCATCTTCCAGCTGTGTGACTCTGAGCGCCTGCTCACCCCCCTGAGCCCTTGCTCTCACCAGACAGATGGGGCGAGAGCCCCCTCATGGGACATCAGCACCAAAGGAGAGCATGGGAGCTGTGGGGGCGCGGGCCAGCACCTCCCACCCCGTCCTGCCCGGGCCCCCTCTCACCTTCAGGGGCTTTGTCCACCGTGTACCAGAGCTTGAAGCGCGCGGAATGCTCGTTCCTCAGCTCCTCCAGCTCAGGCCGCAGCAGGATGTCCTTCTCGGTCTACGGGCAGCCAGCATGAGCGGTCAGGCGGGAGGGGCAGCAGGGACTGCCCTGGAGTCGCTCAACACCCGCCGTAGGCCACACACACGCACGGCCCGAGAAAGTGGTGGCACGGCCACCCAAGTCCCAGGACACGTGTGTCCCTTCTCACTGCACCCGTGGCGCTGACCCGGGCCACACTGGGGTTACACGGGGTGGGAAGGAGAACAGAGCTGCACGTGGGCAAGCTCACTGACAGACGGAAGGAAAGGTGCCCCACCAGTCATGGGGGCCGCGGGCAGCTTTACTGCCCAGCACACCCCTCACACAAGCCCATATGTTCAGGCTGCACATCCACAGGTCCTGTTTCCCAACTCACACTGGCCCCTCGCACGGCCTTCCCTCTCCTGGGCCTACAGCTCCCCCACTGACTTCACTCTACAGAATCAGAACAGTGTCACCTCCTCCAGGAAGCCTTCCCGGACTCCAGGAAACATCAATCATCTGTTACTTCCTTGGCCTCTCCACCCTGACACAGGCCTTTGCCTGGTGTTTGCAGGGCATGAGACACACCTGAGGGGCGCCCACTCACAAACCTCTACGGAGCCCCTGGCAGGGTGAAGAGCAGGGTCCCCCAGCCCAAGGAGGCCTCTTTGCTCAGCACTGCTCACCCTGTACCACCCAGGGTGCCTCAACATCCTCAGCAGACAGGGCCACCAGGAAAGGCAGAGGGCTGAAGCCACCCAGGCAAGACAAAGACCACCAAGGTGGAAAACAGGGTATTTTCTAGATGGGAGTTTTCATAGACAGGCCCTGGTCCCAGCACTTCCAGTCAGACCCCACTAGGGGCCTCCGTGTGCAGAGCCACAAAGCAGGGCAGGGCCACCGCCCCAGCCAGCCACCGAGAGGCCAGCAGACAGACCCAGCCACACCCCCACCCCCACCCAGGCCCACCAGCTGCCTGGGAGTTTCTGGCTCTTTCCACTCATCTGGGCTGAGTCAAGGCCAGCTAGTCGGCTCAGGGCAGTTTTCTGCAGCTGGGGGGCAGGGGACAGGGGTGGGGCAGGAGGGTCCTCAAGAACCTTGGAGAAGCCCCTCCCGTTCTGGGTTTCTTTTCCTCACAGGTGGACAGTGTGGAGCCAGGGCCAGATGGTCCCCAGGACGAGCTGACCTGAATCGTATGTAGCAGGCGCAGAAGGCCTGGGCATGACCTTACAAAATCCACATATTCCATCACAAATCACTGACCCTAAAAAGACCCTCGGGGTGGCCTTGCTTCATCAGCTCATTCCACAGCGAGGGAGCAGAGCTCAGAGAGAGAGAGTGACCTGTCAAGGCCACACAGCAGGCCAGGGTGGGTGCTGGCACGGGGAGGACATGCCCTCAGGAGTGCGAGACCAGGGGTGCTGACCCTGCCCGGGCCCCCAGCACAGGGACCTCATGCAGACGTGCTTGTGGGTGCTCGCCCCTCCCCTCACGCGCAGCCCCACTCAGGTCGCTGGGGGGGCCCTGGACTGAGCATGTCCCCCACGCACTGCGGAGCTGCCCGCGCACTGACCGTCCAGGATGCCACTGCCGCCCGCCACCCTGAGCGGAGGCCTGGGTGCCACCTCACCAGGCTGTGCGAACCCCCAGCAGGCACGGGGCTGCCTGTCGCAGGAAGGCCCACTGACCTGGTTGGCAAAGATCAGGTGGCACACAGTGGGGTCTTGCGGGTCCTTCATGATGGCGCGGATCACCTGCAACATCGGGGTGATGCCTGCAAGACAACAGCCCCCACAGGCCCCGTGATGCTGCTGCGTCACACAGGCCCGGGGCCCACAGGCACTTGGGGGCAGGGGCTAGGACCGCCCCGGCAGCTCCCCACCCTAACCTGCCCCCAAGCTCTAACACTGGGATGTCGGCGGGGGCTCCAGAGCCCACATACCAGTTCCTCCTGCGATCATGCCCACGGACTTCACTGTCCTGACCACGGGGCTGGATTTCTTGTCCGGGCGGATGGCAAACTTCCCTGGGGAGGGAGGAGGAGGTGAGCCCCACTCTGAGGGCCCAAGTGCAGACAAAGGATCAGAGAGCCCAGCCCGTCAGGCAGGGGGGAAGGAGACGCCCTGGAACCCCACCCAAATGCCAAAGGGGCACAAAGCTGGGTGCCTCCTGGCAGATGGCTGGGGAGCAGGGGGAGCGCCCAGCTCAGCCCTTTGGCTCATTTCTTTTCAGCTGTGTTGAGCCACGCAAGGCGGGGCTGTGGCCTGGACATGGCTCAAAGGCAGCCGGCTGCCAGCCCGGCACTGGCCATCTTCTCCTGATCAGTGGGGGAAACCGAGGCCCCAGCAAAGAGACAGCTTGTCCTGTCACAGGAGGCAGCTGAGCCTGGCCCTGCCCACAGCATCCCCCCTGGCCTGGCCGTCCCCAGGGGGTTCCGACCCGAGTCACCTCTGCCCTGGTAGACCAGCAGCCCGTTGGGGCCCCGGAACTCAATGGTGTCTCCGATCTTCATGTTCTCCAGGTACTGGGACATCTTCCCTCCGGCGGGAAACTTGGGGTGGGTGTCCTTGAAGTAAACCTGCAAGACACCGCCCTCCTCAGTCCCCAGGACTCGGGGGGAGCTCTGGCCACAGCGGAAAGCGTCTGTTCTGGGGTTCTTCTCTGACCCGTGGGTGGTCTCCCCACATCGTGCTCCTCCACCTATCAACGCTCTCCAGTCCACGACCGACCCCCGGGAGTCTGCCCCCCACCGACTGGCCCCTTGGAAGGCAAAGGTCAGCCCGGCGTGCGGGCAAGACGCGCCTGCAGAACCCGCGGGAGGGACGGGTCCTGGGGCTGCCAGCCCAGTGAGGCTCCGGGAAGGCCTTGCGATGCCCCCTTTGGTGGGGGCTCAGTTCTTTCCACTTTGCTCCATGGTAAAAACATCCCTCTCGGACAACTTCCTCCCATGTCCTTTGGGATTTCCGCTCTGGAAAAGGAATGTTAAAACCCATGTGCAAAGAGATGGGGAGACAGCGGGGCAGCTGACCCCGCCCAGGGCTGGGAGGGCTTCCCTGAGAAGGGACAGTGTGTGCAAAGCCTGGCTGGCCTCAGAGGGCCTGCGGCAGTGGCGTGGGGCGGGGGAGGCGAGAAGACTGTGGCTTCCGCACAGGGGATGGGTCTGTGGAGGAGGAGGGGTGGAGGAAGAGGTGGGCAGAGCACACGTGTGCCGGGACCCTGCTTTTCCCTAGGGCCAGCAAGGTCTCTAAGCCGGGCGGGGCCTGGTCATCGTGAGCTTTTACCCCCACGGGAATCCCACCTATGCCTTTCCACATGCAGCCCGAGTGATTCTGACCAGATCCATGCTTGATCCCTCACCACCTTCCCCTGGCTCTGGACTGAGCCCCAGACCCCACCGGGATCTCAAGGGCCCTGCTGACAATCCCCCCTCACCTGGCTGCTTCAGTCCTTCAGACTCCTGACCTCAGGGCCTTTGCACTTCCCGCCTCTCCACCCGCATGCTGCCTCCTCAGCTGCCCGCTCAGGGCGCAGCTCCCATCACCCTGGCACGCCCCAGCCCTGGGGCCCGTTCCAGGCACTCAGTCCCGCGCGTGCCCCCCAGTCGGCCAGTGAGCCCTGCTGGCTCCTCCTCTGCAGATGGCCGATCCCCACTCGAAGACACTCAGCCGCAGCCCCAGCCCCACTCTCTGCTGAGACCTCACCTTGACGACCAGGTCCACGAAGCCCTTGTCGTCATCGCTGGAAACAGGCGTGTAAGGCCGAATGACCAGGTTTCCGTCCACTCGAGCAGAGAGGTAGATGTGCTGGCCTGGAGACAGGGCGGGTGACTCTGGGTGACAGTCCCTGAGGGTCCGCTGGGCCTTGTTAACCCAGTGCCCTGCCCAACCCAGCATTCAAAGCCAGGCCCGTCGGGATTCCCGTCACGTCCCACTTTGCTGCCGCCATGTCTTGGAGGGCTGGTACCACGTCAGGCTCGCAGGCCATCTCCCCTCTGATTCCGACACTCACCCTCAAAGGCCCAATGTGGCTGTCACCTCTTCCTTGAAGCCTCCCCTGCTCTCCTGAGTTAAAGTGTGAAGCTCCTTCCTTTCTCACTGAGTGCCCCGGGTGCCCACCCATTCCCATTTGACCCCACTCACCGATGGGGAGGCCCAGGATGTGCTGGGGTGACGGCAGGGCAAAGCGGAACCGCCGGGTGTCGTGGCTGATGATCTGCAACGAGGCCCGAGCTGCTGGGCGGCTGCCAGACCTCAGAACCCCCACCGCTCCCCGGCAGCCCATGTGTCATTGAGAGAAGTGGCACTGATGCCCCATGTGGGTGCGTGCGTGCGCACGCCCGTGCGAGGATGGAGGTGAGGGACATCTGGGGGCCCCTCGTTCGCGCTGGCCCTCCGACGGGCAGTGACCCACCCAGAAACACAGGGCAAGGTGGTCAGAGCGGGGAGGAGCTCGGGGTCCCAAATGGAGGTATCAGATGGCCCTGAAAGTTCCAGGGATGTGCAGGAGGACGTCACCCCTGGCATCAGTCCAGCTGTACCCTGGAGTGGACACAGGTGCCGGGCCTGGGACTGGGGAGAGGAGCCCCACGAGCCACCACCCTGAAGCCTCAGAAGCCGGGCAGCAAGACTGGCTGTGCCTGCTGGCGAGAGGTGTGGCGACCTCACTACCCAGAGGTCCCCAGGCTGCCTTGGCCAAAAGCCCAAAGCCAGGCCTCCAGCCAACAGGGGTGGGGACTCAGGGCGGGGCGCCTCCTCCCCTGGCCTCAGGGTGGGGCAGACGCTGGAGAAGCTCTGTCTGAGCCGAGAGGGAGACAGGGAGACTGCTTTCCAGTTAAGCGCCTTAATCCCAGGCCAGGGAAGCGTCACGCAGGAAGCTGGGGTCAGAGCTGGAAATCAAACCAGGACCCAGCTGTGGCCTGGGCTCCCGGGGCCACAGAGGGGGCAGGTAGCCACCAAGCACATGGACACGCTGGGGCCTGGCGGCGCAGCAGGTCCGCTGCAGGATGGGAGTGTTATCACTTGGGGGGACCACAGAGTTTTGAGTGTGGGGGCATAGGTGGGAAGCTGGGTGTTAGGAGAGGGTGCCGAGTCCGCTCTCTGCCCCAGCAGCCTGGCCCGATGCTGCCTCTCCGGGAACCTTTGCACTCTGGACAAAGGGAGCCCCAAGGCCTCTTAGGAGCAGATTCCAGCGTTATCAACTGTCCTAAGGGTCAAAGTCAGAGAGCCACATGCAAGATCATTCTGGAGGAAGAACAGCAGTGAAGACATGGATATCTCTGGCATAGGACAGGCCCTAGCAGGGGGCACTCAGAGAGCTCCAGGGGTCCCTGCGGGGCAGCCCAGCACGGTGGGGAGCGCAGGCCCCCAGCCACGGCAGAGCAAGAGCGTCTAAAAGCAGGTCAACCTGCTGTCCCCGCAAGGCCACCACGACGGGCTGTGACCCAAGTGCCAGGACATTTACCACTTGCTCAAAGGGGGCTGGTGGGTCCCCTATGGGACAACCCCGTGACCCACACCAGACTGTCTTCAAAAATAACGCAGCAGCTTTGGGGTAGACATGGTCAGGCACCCCACCCCGCTGCAGGACCGGGCAAGAAAATCAGTTTATTAAGAGAAACAGCACACACACACCTGAACCCCCATTTATGTGCATGAGTGTGCCACACAACAGAAGGCCCACCCGAGCCGGGAAGGGGTGCCCCACTCAGTGGCCACACGGAGGGGACACTCACGCTTCACAGGCGAATTTTTATAGCAGGCACATAAAGTCATCATGACTTCTGGAATAAAACCACCAGAAGGAAAAGGAATTTTTAAAAAAGATTTAGGGCCTCCCTGGTGGCACAAGGGGTTGACGCAACCTATGAAGCTGGCCACAGCCTCTGCAGCACGAGTTCCATCCCTGGCCAGGGAGCTACCCACATGGCGCAGCAGACCTCTCCTGCCTCCCCGCTGCTCCCCTCAGCAGTGTACTTCGGTCAATTGGTCTGTTCTGCTCCCCGCTCTGTCTCTGGTGAATCCTCTCACCTCCCCCCCTTCTCTGGCCTATACCCCAGCTCTTCTGTGCATAAATAAATCTTAAAAAAAAAAAAAAGGAAATATTTCAAGACGGGATGGTTTCATTTTAGGAAAAAAACAAAAAGATATGGGAGAAGGTGAAGGGCCTATGAGCCCCCCAGGAGGAGGTGAGGTGTGTGTGGATTTTTTGGCTTTTCTCGGGGTTTTGAATCCTCTGACTCCCAGTGGGACAGCACAGGCCCAGCCGGGCGCAAGCGGCAAGAGCCTCCCTGGGCTCTGGGTGGAGACTGCGGGGGGGGGGGGGGGGGGGTTGGGGGGGGGCATGAGCACTGCTGCATGACTCAGTTGTCCCTGCCACACCCGCTCCAAGGCGAGCTTTGATGAGGGGGAGTAAGGAGGGAAGCAGCAGCCCTGGGGGCAGGCAGCCTGGGAAAGGATGGCCTTAGATCAGGACCACAGGTTTGAAAGGCAGAGGCAGACTGGGCAGGAGTACACACACACACACACACACACACACACACACAGACACACACACACAAGAGCGGTGTCTGGGCCCCACGAGGACAGGCCGGAAGGGAGGGCGTGGAGGGGGGGTCCTGGGATGTCAGCACAGGGACCGTGAGCGTGAGGAGAGGCCTGGGTGCTGCGCTACCGACTCAGCGTGACCTCAAGTGACGCCTACTCCTCTCTGCCCTCAGCCCCCATCTGTTAAATGGAGGCCGGACCCAGTCCCGAGGGTCTGAATTCCCGGGGGAGGCTGAGGAGGGGCCGGGGAATGGGCTCCGCGACCACACAGCTCAAACCCCTCTGCCACGATGAGCACCTCGCTTTCCCGCCTGTAAAATGGGTAGAGAACGGGACCCACTTCAGAGAGGGCCGGGCCGAGCAGGCAGGTGTGAGCGGCGCTGCGGTGCCGGCGCGCCCAAGCGCCCAAACTCACCTCCTTGTCGATGAGCCGCAGCGGGTACTTGATGTCCGGGCTCTCGAGGGTGATGGCGGGCGTGGAGCGCTGGAACAGCTTCATGAGCAGGCTGTACAGGAACCAGACCGGGGACAGGGCCACCTGGCCCAGCTGCGACGACAGGGCCAGACCCGCGAGGTCAGCGCGGGAAGGGCGGCCGCCGGCTCCCGCCCAGCACAGACGCCCCGGGCCTCGGCTCCCCCCGCAACGCTCCGGACCGACGTCCCGCAGTGAGCCCGAGCTCCCGTCCCGGCGCTGGCGGGGAGCTGCGGACGCCACGCTGCCGGCGCCCGTGATGGCATGAGCCAGTCTTCCGCGCCCGGCACCACGAGAAAACAGTTCTTGGAAAAGGCCCATTTCCCCCGAGGAGCAGGACAGAGACAGCGATGTAACTGGGCGCCAATCCCTTTGCGCTCCGGCTGCTGGGAAGCTCAGGGGACAGGCCGCAGCCAACTGCAATGCACTGAAGCACTGCGTCTGTGCCCCCTTCCCGCCTGCCCTTCTCCAGTCAGCGTCCCCGGGCCCAGTACGTGATGGCGAGTCCTTGCTCTATTCAGACACATGAGCAAATGAGCTCAACGCGGCATCTACCTGAGGCCTTCACTGCTCAAAGTGACTTTGAACCCAGTCCCTTGGGCTACTTCGGTGGGTGCCCGCTCTTCCTCACTGCCCACCGCCCCGCCGCAGCACAGGGGCTGAGCACCTGAGGCCCACTGAGCCTCGATGTGCCTGTCTGTAGAAGGAAGGTGGGCCACTGCCTGGAGCTGGGGGATGAGATGAGATGGGGGGCTTAGGTCAAAGAGGGGTCCATGGCCGGGGGAGTGTGGAGCCACACACAGGAGCGTTTCCTGTTATCCTTACATCGCACCTCCCAGGAGGTGAAATGTCCAAGTCAAGGAAGGGCAGAGGTGTTAAGATCCCAGGCCAGGCCTGATCCCTGCCCCCAAAACCGGCCCAGCGGCTTCAAGTTGCCAGACTGCAGCTGCGGTTACAGCCTTTTGTTGGACTGGGAACAATGTGCCTCTCTCCCAGACGGGGCCTCCACAGGGGCACAGCGGAGGCCTTGTCCTTGTCCCGCCCGGCCCTTGGTGGGGAACAGTGGGTCTGTGGGAGGCAGCCCAGGCCCCACCCATGCCCAGGGCCACACAGCAGGGGGCTCTGGCCACCTGCCCACGTAACTAGCACCAGGCCCCGTGTGGCATTTCACCCATCCTGGGTTTCATTTAAGGCCCTGGCTGGCAGTCCTGGCCTCAAGGGTAGGAGCCCAAGTTCAGAGTCCCAGCCCAGCCCCTAAGGAGAGTCTCTGCCTCTCCAGGCCTCACCTTCCTCAGGTGCATGAGGACAGTCCCAGACAGGGCTCCAAGTGTGCCCGTGAGCGCCCTGAGACCACCCTCACTTCCACACTGGCCTCAGGCAAACCACTTCAGCAAGCTGCGAACTAGGAAACTGAGGCCCAGAGCAGGAAAGTCAGCTCCCAAGTCACACCAAAGCCAACCCGCACAGCCCAGCCTCTGCACACCACGTGCCGCTACAGCCCTGTTTCTCGCAGAGGTGAAGTAGCTTGCCCAAGGTCACGCAGGGTCGGGGTGGAGCCAGGATTCCCCCCAGGCCTGTGGGCCAGCTCATCCCTAGCCACCTCCCAGGACAGACGCCCTCCCCGTGCCCGCTCACTAGCCCACAGCATAAGCCCCCCGCCAAGCCACAGCTCCAGATCCTGCCTCTCTCCATGAGGCCTGAGGCCCAGCTGCCAAAACCAGTTACCTGAACCAGCAGGCCGCTAGCTCCCCCTTCCTCAAACACCCGCTATGGTGCCTCATCCCCTGCACTCACCTACCAGCTCTCTGCTCTTCAAAAGAGCCCTTCGCACCTCAAGTCTCAGCCCCCTAGCAAACTCCTATTCATTCTCCAAAACCAGCTCAAAAGTCCGGGCTCCCCTGACTGCCCCCCTAATGGCTCATGGGTCCCTAGGTGGCTTCCACAGCCCTGTGCCCCCTTGGGGTGAGGATTATCCTGATGATTCCTCTGCTACAGGCCTCTCCCAGGCCTCCAGAGAGGCCACATCCAGGGGGAACATCACTTAGGGAGAAGCCAGGAAGTGGCCATTGTTAGGAGCGCTGGACATGACCTTGGTGACACTGCGCTGAGAGGCTGCGTGCGGCGCGTTCTCGGGCCCTGTGTCCCAGCCCAGCTGCTCGGGCGCGCAGCCGACCTTACAAACACGAGACCCTGCCCGCCTGCAGCCGGCCAGTCTGCACGGCCCCCACCCTGCGTCTCCTCACCAACCCACGGCGAGGGCAGGGAAACTGTTCATTTGCTGAGTGAGGAAACTGAGGCCGGGGGACACCCAGGGTGGAGTCCGCTGTGCTCCTGATTTTCTTTCAATCACCCACTCTCTGGCCTCCACAGCAGGGGATTCACGCCATCGCTGGAGGAGCTGATAAAAGTGGGGTGCCATTACGAACCCTGTTTCAGGTGAGGAAACAGAGGCCGGGGAGTCCCAAGGGCCACAATTTGAAGCAGACGCTCAAGCAGGCTGGAGTGACCTCACGGAAGCCCGGCCCACCTGGCCTCCAGGGCCCAGGGGCTCAGTCTGGCCGTGGAGACGGCAGAGGGGGAACCGGGGCACGAGCACATGCTGGGGCAGACCCTCCCTGTCACTCAGCCCTCCGGGCCACACCCCGTGGGCACACCCGCCGGGGCCCATGGCACACTGGCCCTGAAGGGCGCAAATCGGTGGGAGAGCAGAGGCGGGCAGAGAAAAGGGCGCAGTGGATGGCACAGCTGGAGGCTCCACCACACTCGCCTGGGTGGGGGCGCACTGTTCCCACGACTTCGGAGACCGGCCTTGGCCCCCTCCCGGCGACACACCACTTTGGCCCCTGCCAGCAGTAAACAGGAGGCAGATGGCTGAGGCCAAGGCCCCACCCAGCGCCGCCTCAGCTGCGCTGCTCATACAAACACACATCACTGCACCCCAACACCTGCGGGGCCCCGGGGAGGCTGCATCCCAGGCCTGCCCTGATGCCCCACCAGGGCCCCACCACCTGAAAACACAAGAGGGAGAAGGTCTCAGCTAAAAAGCTGGGGAGCCCTGTTCCCCCCCCAATACACGCAGGCGTCCCATCCTGCCCAGCTGCTCAACCCTGAGTCTCTGCTGGGACCCAGGGACCCACTCTACCCAGGTCAGGCCTGGATGGGCTGAGGGACCTGGCAGCCCCGCCCTCCCCAGAGGCCAGCTCCCCGCGCGAGGCTTGGACAAGCCCCTCACCCACTTGCTCACATGCCCGCGTGCCCTCCCGCTGTCCTGCCGGATCAGAGTGTCCACCTCCCTCCTGGGCCCCTTTGGGAAGTGGGAGGAAGTGGGAGGGAGTGGAGGAAGTTCCGCAATGGGGGGCTCCCAGCTCGGGACTGGAGGGGAAGGGAGCCCCGGAGGCGGGGCAAGTGGACAGCAGAACCAACCCACAGGGGAGCCAGCGCCGACTTCCCTGGGCTGGTGGGGGCCCGGCCCCGGAGGAGGTCCCGAGCCGCCAGGGGCAGGGGGGAAGCCAGGGACTTTACCTGGGGTGGTGGTCTGTGTGGGCCCCAAGCATCTGCGGCTGGATAGGAAGTGCCGAGAGTCCAGCCAAGCCCCACCGTGCCTCCCAGCAGCTCCCAGACTCAAGTGCCAACTCCTTAACCAGCCCCCCAAAGTGTGGGAGGAGGCGTCCCCCGGGGCCTGCAAGATTCAGATAAGATGCTGTGTCCCCACTCAGGAGCTGGCCTCCCACAGCGGCAGTGGGGAGTCTCTGGGGAGCATCTGTTCCGGGCGCCCTGGCAGGAATCCACTGTCAGTATCTGGGGTCAAGGTGGGGTCCCAGCTGGGACCTTGGGCAGGCAGGCCAGGGGCCTGTGAGGGTCTCCTGACGGGGACAAGGCAGCGCCCTCCCAGGGGAGCAGCAGCAACAATGTTCACCAGAAACATTCAGAGCGGCCCGTGCAGGGGCTGCAGGACGGGCAGCACCCTGGGGTGGCGGTCAGGGGACGCCTGCGCAGCGGAGGAAGGAGACTGGGAAGAAGTCAGGACGCTGCATGGAGGCGGCGACGCCCACAGGTTCGCCCTGGCCCTGAACCTGCTGCCCCTCGGGAGGAGGCCCGGCCTCGGCCTGGCCCCTGGGCCTCCCGCTGGCGGGGGCAGGGGCAGGGGGCAGGGGGCAGGGGGCAGGGGGCAGGGGTCCTCCGCGGACAGGGGTGGGGCCCGACTCCCGGCCTGGGCTGCGGCGGGGCCCGTCCGCGCCCTCGGGCTGCCCCGCCGGCCCCCGCACGCCCCCGGAGGCTCCCGCGGAACCTCAGCAGGAGGCGGCGGGCCGGGCCGGGGCGGGACCGGGACCGGCAGGCGGCGGACTTTGGAGCCCCGCGGGCGGGCGGGGCCTCGTCCGGCCGCGCCTCGTCCGCAGCGTGGGGCGCGGGGCCGGGCGCGGGGCGGGGCGGAGGCTGCGGGGGCCCCGCGCGCCGCCAGGACCCCCCGCGCTCGGGACTTCGGGGCCCGCCCGCCCGCCCGGCACGGCTGGCGCTCACTCTCGCGTGCGCTCACGCTCACACACACGTGTGCGGCTCGCCCCGCCCCCCGCCCCCTCGCGAGCACGGCGGCCACACCCCGGGCACACTCGCCACGCACGCGCGCCCCCCCCGGGCACCCCGGCCCGGCCCCCGCGCCCGCACGCGCCTCGCCGGGGGGCCGGGGCGGCGGCGGGCGTGAGTCACGGCGCCCGGGGCGGGGCGCGGCGGGCCGGGCGGGGTCCCGCGCCCCCCACCTCCGCCCCGCCGCGCCCCGGCCCCGGCCCCGCCGCCCGCGCCCCCGCCCCGGCCCCGGCCCCGGCCCCGGCCCCGGCCCCGGCCCCGGCCCCGGCCCCGCCGCGCGCCCCCGCCCGCCGCGCGCCCCCGCCCGCCGCGCGCCCCGCCCGCCGCGCGCCCCCGCCCGCCGCGCGCCCCCGCCCGCCGCCGCCCGCCGCGCTTACGGTGCTCAGGTGGGCGCCCATGGTGCCGCCGCGCGCTCGCTCCGCCGCCGCCGCTACGCTGCAGCCGCCAGGCCCCGCCCCGCCCGCCGCGGCCCCGCCCCCGCCGCGGCTCCGCCCCTACACGTCATCGGAAGGCGGGGCGCCCGCAGGCCCCGCCCCCTAGCCCCGTCCCGGCGTCGCGTGTCCCGGGGGAAGGGCGGCCCCGCCCCCGTACTCGGGGGACCCCCGGGTACATCGCCCCAAGCCCAGCGCGCGGCTGCAGTTCCCCGAGGGGCGCGAGCTTGGTGTCCCCGCCGCGCTGTGGGGCCCCCTCTGGGCCTTGTTTGACATTATCCAGGGAGGGGATGGCGCCCCTCCCCCCATGGGCTCTGACGTTAAAGGTGGACACTTCGCGTTGGCCTCGAAGCCTCCAGGATTTCGCCTCCTCGCTGGCTCGGCTGAGCTCCGCTCTGGGCCTCCCAGCCCCCCGGTTCCCGAAACCGACCCTCTGGGCCCCGCCTCCAGCCTCTGGACGCTCTTTCCCTCTCCGGAGCGCTGTCCCCGACGCCCTGAGCCGGCTCTTGCCTTCTCGTCCCTGTGCAGCCAGGCCTCGCGCACCCCCTCTCCAGGCAGCCCCTCTCTCCTGCACCCCTGGCCTCGTATGTGTAGTGGTCTTCCAGCTCTTAGCGGTGAGCTAAAGTTATCCTGTGCGTTCCTCTAGGATGAATCCCCCCCAAACCCCCACAGGTCCCAGTGGGCTGTGGACTCGGCTGAGAAGGAAGCCGAGAACCTTGCACAGAGCCTAGGGTCCAGGAGGTGCTCAAGAAAAACTTGCTGAGTGAATGACTAGCAAGTCATGGGTGCTCTCTGCACCTTCCTGGAGGGTCTGGCACCCAGATAGCAAGCAGTTCCTAGAATGCTGACCTGCCGGCCTGCAGCCTGATGCTGGCCAGGCAGGCGGAGCTGGGCAGAGCCTGGAGGGGGGACTGAGGTGGACAGACTCCAGGTCAGCAGGAACCGGGGCTGATACAGCCTGAGTTGGGGGCAAGGTGGTGTGTGGTGAGGCACTGTGATGCCAGGATGGAGAGAACAGGGTTGTAGAGAGCCCTGGGGATTTAAGCAGGTCAGGGAGTGAACCACTGGCTTTAAAAAGGGAACTCAGGGGCCTCCCTGCTGACGCAAGGGGTTAGGCGCAGCACTATGACGCTACCCGAAGCCACTGCAGCACGAGTTCGAACCCCGGCCAGGGACCTGACCCACATGGCACAGCAGACCTCTCCTGTCTCCCCGCTGCTCCCCTCAGCAGTGGATTTCAGTAGATCCACCTGTTTTGCTCCCCACTCTGTCTCTGATGAATCCTCACCCCCTATATCTCTGACCTGTACCCCAGTTCATGTATGCATAAATAAACAAATCCTTTAAAAGGGGGGTGCTCAGGACAGTTTGGAGGAGACCCAGAGAGGGATCTATTACCATAGCATAAATCCGATATCAGGTATTATTTCCACCTTAGTGCTTACAATTTTAATATTACAAAGGAAGTAATCAATAGGGGACTTCACTGTGAAATACAAGTTATTTCCCGTTTCTGGGTACTTTCCAGACCACCACTGCCTGGGGGTCTTTCTCCACAGACACCTTTGGGGTGGCAGGGGAGCTGAAGGTCCTTCCCACCACTCCTCTTTCTCCCAGTCCCTTCTGAATTTTCTTCGTCTTCCTTTTTAAGCCAGGACTGGTGATGGTCGCCACACTGACTATTATGCATTTGGGTGTGTGATGCTTGTGAAATTTGGAGATGACTAAGTTGGCTTTCTCCTTTTAATTATCCTCACAAGCCATGAAGAACTACCACAGAGGGCGTTTCCTTGAAAAACTCCTTGCCTAAATGCATTAAATAAAACTTTAAAACTGTTTAGAATAAGGCTATAAATGCTGGTCCAATGCTATAAAATCAGAATTAGGATGGAATCTAGTTTTCTGCCTTGTATTGTCATTTTCTTTTCCTTTTTTATTTTGAAAAGCACTTGTAAGGTTTAGTGAAACTTCCTCCACGTAGCTTCTAGCTGCAGGACCCCCGGGCCTCTTGGTCTTCTCAGTTCTTCTACTGAAGAATGTGGCCATCACCAGCACAGGCTGCCTGCTGGCACCACATCAGATATAGGCCCAGCTCCAGACTCGTTTCTCCCCAAGTCAGCTGGGGAGCCAAGGTCCACAGTTCATCAAGTTGACAGATGCGCAGAAACTGATCCCCAGAGTAAGCTGGGTGATGCTTGTCGAGGCTGATCCTGCGATGATGATGCCCCAGCATCCTGGGTGCTTCCCCTGCTTCCTGATGGGGCTGTGGCCGTGGCTCATGTGGCCCTGAAGTTTCCAGGTTTTCCTCAGTCTGAATGGTCTGTGGTGGCTTGGAGGAGAGATTGTATTGTCGTTTCATTCTGTGAGTTTGTGGACTCAAAAGGGAAAATGCTTTTTCCTTAAGGCTATCATGCCATTGGAGCCTCTCTAGAGATCGTGCTGTCATGCCTTGTCTTATGTCTGTTTGAAACTCCTCATTGTTTCTGTCCATAAAATGCACACCGCTTACATTCGCCAAGAAAGACTAAAGCCTCTGCTCCTGCTGTTATAGGCCCGCTGCATCTGACCCCATCCCTCTGGGTTTTTCAACGTGTGAGGCGCAAAAGGAAAGCCCACAGTGGCCACCCCGGTAACATCTGGAAGCACCTCTGGAAGGTGAGCCATGTGCCAGGCTCCTGATTGGCTGTGTCACCAGGCCAAGGCCGCGCATGAGCTTGGGAGGCCAGACCTGACCGGGTCTCGGGCAAAGGTTGGGACTGAAGCCAAAACAGCAGGTACATTTTGTGGTTTGGGAGCTCTGGGCCAGGACGGTTGCTTTCAAGAAGCCGTGAAGATTCCCAGGGTTGCTGGAGACCCGCTTGCATCCCACCCTCGTGCAGGCTTGGTCCCCACAATGCAGGTCCATGGCTGCCCCCCCGCCCCCACCCTGCTTATTTTGCCCCTTGATTGAACTGGGCCTCAAGCTCCTTCCTGGGGACTGTATCTGCTCACAAAGCTGAGTGAGGCCCCAGGGCTTGTTGCTTTCTGGGGGTCACTTTCTGACCCCTTGTCTCTGGGCCGCCCTCTCCTCCCCTCCTGTCTGATCCATCTTGGGAAGCTCTCCTCACGGGTGGTGGGCTGTTATGGTGCAGTTTCTTTGGAGAGGGGAGATTTCTCCCCAACTCCATGGGGGCCTGCTCAGCCCTTACTGGGCCATAGGGCAACGGGGGACAGGGGAGAGGAAGAGAGGGGGAGGGACATAGTATTGGGGGTTTGGTGAGGAGCTGGGAGAGGAACCCAGATGCCTATGTGGACCAGGCGGCCCCTCCAGCTCTTGCCACTCAGACCGACTGGGGCAGGTCCAGCCACCCCACACTGGCCACCACAGACCAAGGCCTCGGCCTCTCTGGGCCCTCCTCCGGGACAGGCCGGGGTGTGGGGGTGCGGGCCCCAGGGTCTTGAATAC